GTATCTATCCCTCGATCACAACAAGCCGGGCACATCGTTGATGACGACATGTTTGCTATAATGGTAGCTCCATTGCCGCCTGGCTGTCGATTGACTGGAATTTTCGATGTTGAGTTTCCCATTCTTTTTGTTTCAGCGACAACGCGTCCTAGTACGCGCTTACCTGTTTGTTTCACTCCTCTTTTTCAGTCTTGTCCATTCTGGTACCGCACTTGATTTACCCATGTAAGAACCTCGAGTCATCATCACATTCAGTTCACTCACTAAACGTTTCCTGGTATATCACATATTAGATGTCTATTCAACCGAAGGCAAGATCAAAGAACCCAATCTTTTAGCCGAGTAAGCACATCCCACTTGCTTGATCGTCGACCCCCCCCCCCCTTCTGACGCGCATTTTTACGATTTCTTATAGAGCTGGACAGGGTGCACTTCAGGCGGGACTATCATATATGCGTGGTGATCTTGGCGGAGTTGCCAAGGGCTTGATGGGTCTAGGCAAGAAAGTGATCTCCGGAAACAAGGCTGATAAGATCTCCAAAGCGACTCGGACCAGTCCCGCGGATGCGATCCAATGGAGTGGGTGTAAAGACTCTCAAACGAGTGCTGATGCAGTCGAAGCTGGTTCTGCTACCGGGTGTGTATCGTATCCACATGGACTACTTATTCCTGGTTAACCTTATTTATTCTTACATTACTTATGCATCAATCCTTTTGGTAGAGCTATGTCCTATGCTTTCATCACTTCCTTGACCCAGGCCCCGCAGCAAACCTACCAACAACTCTTAGTATCTATCCGACAGATCTTGGCCAACAAGTACTCGCAGAAGCCGCAACTGTCGGCATCTCATGTGAGTTATCGCCTCCCTGCCCTTTTTCTTCCTTGCTTTACATATTCTGAAATTCTTCTGACATCAGCTCTCCGTTCTCATTTTCAGCCTATCGATACCAACCTCATGTTCGTCATGTGAAGGGCTTACTCTTTTTCAGCTTGACGACTTTTTGGCATCAGATCGGATGCTACCTCTTTTTTGTTCATTTTTTTTTCTCTCTCTTATGCGCATTTGCTCCTCCCCCGTTTTTTTTTTTTTCCTTTACTTGTGATGAGTTGCATTACTTCTTCCACCATAATCTCTGTTGACATAGTTATCCCACTTACCTGTGCAATACTTGCGGGTTATCGCTTGATCCGGCTCGAGCTATCTTTGTTATCTACTTAGGCATCCATGAACTGTACCTCAAAGCGTATGAATAGGAAACAAATGTACAAGACTGCTCGTTGGAATCTTCCTTCAGCTGTTGGCTTATTTCAATAGCAGGTTTGGCACTATTGCAGAGCGGATAGAAATCTAGCGTTCCAACCATGCTTCCCAACAAGTCCAGACTTTCCCAGAAAGTTGGACGTTTTCCTAAGGTCAAACCAGATCAGTGATCATGCAGGGCTTGTGGACTATCACTCAGTTACCCCCCGGTTCCTAGGTGTACTAAGAACGGCAATAAAGACGTTCTGTTGCGAGCTTCATGAACCGACCGGCTTCGGTCGGTTCATATCTTTCATTAGCCGTGTTATCCGGCGACTGCGTATTGGACACTATGTCGCCATCGAACAACACCTTTTTCCCTCTTTCATGACTTCCAACCAATTTCACTTGGACCCTCAAAGCGTCAGCGAGTCGCAAACCTCCGGGCATGTACATAAACATTCATATGAACTGCATGTCCACCGAGTCCAATACCAATGCCTCGGCGGACATGGATAGGCATGCTTGCCCAAGGCCTCAGGGTGTACCCAGATGGTAATCCTGTGTAAGGACAGCCTGGCTGCACAAGAGTGCACAAGCGTGATAAGCCGGGCCAAATCAAGGCTGGCCCACCCAATGAGTATTCTTTTTTTTGGCCGGTTGTTGCATGTCATACATATCCAACCAGTGGGGGGGGAGTTGGATCCAAAAAAAGGTGGTCTGGTGCTTTTTTTTGGGCTGAATGGCTGCCATCCCCAGAGAAAGGCCCAATGTATGCATCAACCAGACTGGTCAAAGCTACCTTGGCCTGGCACCAGCAGCCACCAGCCTGGTTGAGATTGCAAATAAACATATCAAATCTTGGTTTCATAATTTTGGACCTAGACAGGTCAAAATAGAATTACTTGAGTGAAAACTTGGCCATTGCAAAGCCACCAGGTATCCCATTCCTTATAAGAGGGTGCCATTTGTGGGCTATATTCTTCCCCCCTCATTCTTATCATCTCCCCCATTGCCCACTCTGCTCATCATTCTTCTACATGCCCATTCCCCAGCATCTCATCTAATCCCACCCACCAATCAAGTTGAAAATGCCACAATGTCACCAATGCAAAAAATGGACCCAAGGAGACCTCTTATTATTTGGTGTCTGTGCCACATGTGCAAATGCCTTTTTACCATTTGGCCCCCCATTCTCAATCAACCTCATTAGGGTCCATCCACCCAACCAATCCAGACATCCCCCATCACCAACCCATTCAACTCCATCTTTAGACAACCAAAGTCTGTCCAGCCATCTTATCATCCCACCCATACAATCTGACTTTCCCTATTCCTTTCCAGATTTTTGCCAAGCCCCTTCCATGCTGGAACAAATGCTTATTTCTGCCAGCTTTCCAAAGAGGACCAAACAGGCAAGTCAAAGGACCCCCTTTAACCAATCACCAAGATTATTGGGTGTTCATTATTTCTCTACCAAGATGGGACTCTGTGGGAGAAGAGAAAGGTCTCTTCTGCTGCAAGCCACTGATCAGCCTGACTGATCCCAACCTCTATGAATCACTCTGCTTACAACTGTGGGGGGGTGTTTTCCAAAGAATTTCTCTTGAGAAAAAAAAATTACTTCTAGACTTATCCTTGGATTTGCTTTCCCTCTGCCATGGCATATCAATAATCCCCTCCTAAAAATGATAAAAGAGAGCACTGGCAAAAAAAAAAAAAACTTGTGATATACTCTTGAGGGAAAGCAAATCTCTGGGGAAGTCTGGAATGGATTCAACTTTGGGTTTTAAAAGAATTTCTTTGGAAAAAAACCCCCTATAGTTGTGAGCAGAGAGATTCATAGAGCCTGAGGTTGGGATCAGTCAGGTTGATCAGTTGCTTGCAGCAGAAGAGACCTTTCTTCTCCCACAGAGTTCCATCTTGGTAGAGAAATAATGAACACCCAATAATCTTGGTGATTGGTTTGGTGGGGTCCTTTGACTTGCCTGTTTGGTCCTCTTTGGAAAGCTGGCAGGAATAAGCATTTTTCAAAATCTGGAAAGGAATAGGGAAGGTCAGATTGTATGGGTGGGATGACAAGATGGTTAAGACTTTGGTTGTCTAAAGATGGCAGTGAATGGTTTGGTGATGGGGGATGTCTGGATTGGTTGGGTGGATGGACCCTAATGAGGTTGATTGAGAATGGGGGGCCAAATGGCAAAAAAGGAAATGGGGCACAGACACCAAATAAGAGGTCTCCTTGGGTCAATTTTTTGCATTCCTCACATAGCGGCATTGTCAACTTGATTGGTGGGCGGGATTAGATGAGATGCTGGGGAATGACTATGTAGAAGAATGATGAACAGAGTGGGCAATGGGGGAGATGTTAAGAATGAGAGGGGAAGAATATAGCCCACAGATGGCACCATCCTATAAGGAATGGGATAAGTGGTGGCTTTGCAATGGCCAAGTTTTCACTCAAGTAATTCTATTTTGCCCTGTCTAGGCCCAAAATTATGAAACCAAGATTTGATATGTCTATTTGCAATCTCAACCAGGCTGGTGGCTGCTGCCGGAAATCTGCAAGAGAGGGCAATGTGCGATAACATGGAAACACCAAAAGGAAATCAGCTCTTATCCGAAGGTTTGTGTCCTCTTAGATACATTTTAGGGAATGAATGGATGGCTGGGTGGTACTTGGTTCCGGGTCCAATTGTCCTGTGAAAACTACTTGGCCGGGATAGGATGAGGCTCTTTGTCGGATTTCTTTATATGCCAAGTCAGCTCAACTCTTTGTTGACTTACTATACGCGGACCGTGCCGGCCCTGCTTAGTGCTTCGTACATCCCCCAGTTCTGGTTTGACGTCTGATGGAACAATGGCCATCGTGCCTCTCCAAATCCAACTGCAGTACATCTTGTCCTTAAATTTCTTACTCTTAGCCGTGGTAAAGTCACCACAGTTCCTCCCGCCATCACACCCAGTAGATAAATAGAAACAAGTCGTAGTAGTCTGGTATATCTTAATTGTAACAATTCCTTCTTCATTCACAAAATAACGTCTGTAAGAACTTGTGTCCTCTGGTAGCCTAGCTCAGTCAGTTTCTACCGTTGACAGATTTCATCTAGCATCACCAACCCACCTTCCAGCCTAAATTCATCCATAGAAAAAGAAGTGCGTCATCGAAAACAGAAGAAAGACATCAACCCGATGGACTCCACTACTGTCGAATATCAACCACATTTAATAAGTAAGCAGGCGCATTTCATCAAGTGCTAATTGGATTCAAATTCAACTGACGCAGAATCTTCTTCTGCATAGGTCTTTTCTGCGAAATCATCGATTTGGCGGGCTATCGGCGGATAACACCGCGCGGCAGAGACCGGGACATTGCCGAGAAATTTCTTTCAAGTCGTGAGATCCATGCCGGCAAAGCCCTTCTGGTCGAAGTGCAAACCAGATCTCTACCCGCATTGCAGCAGCAGCTCCACGGCTTAATGCAATCAATAGCCACAGGGCGTTTGAAAAAGCAACAGTCCAATCCAAAAGTCACCGATGCCCTCGAGTTCATTAGGCAACTCGGTGCCACCCTCAATCTAATCGACAGTTCTCTCGCTTCCCTCGCTTCCGCTCCCATCTCGGAGGAACTCGGATTTACCTGCAAGGTAGATCATGAGTACGGTATTTTGAAGAGATACAAGTGTATCGGTCTTGTCCAGAAATTTGATCGTTTTCTATCCGACACATTCGCCGATTTGTCTGGCGATTATTGTAGCTTGATGAATTTGTGGTATTCCGCCGCATATTTTCCGGTCCGCATAATGCGTCGCATGTTGAAACCGGGTGCTCCCAGACTCCAACGTAAAATAAGGGAAAAGACTGATGAAGCCTGCCGCATTATTGATGCTATAATCCGATCGCCCATACGATCCGATTTTAGCTTTCTCCAAGAGTCATGGCAGGACGACGTCGACCGTCTCAGTGCCTGTCTCAACGACTTAACCCGGCACGTTGATCACTCAGTCAGATTCGGAGAAAGCGATACAACTGATGATCAGGACGATCTCTCCAATACCTCATCAGAAGAATTTACAAAAGAACTTCATGAGTCTACCCCAGAGTTTGGAACTGACAGCAACGACCCCACTACCTCATCACAGGAAAATGTACTTCTGAACCTAGATCTTATGCCTCGTATCCGGCGAGCTATACCACTTCTCAAATTAGGCAGAACATTCTTCAGCAAATTGTTGGACACCCCCGAAAGTAAAACACCATTCACGCTCAGTCCTAGAGTAAGTTCCTACGACATGGGGTGTTTGAAGAAGGAAACAAGCAGTTTGTGTGCCCATATTCTGAAGATTGTGAAAAGCACCTACCAACCAGAAAACGAAGACGACCTTCATAACGAAATGGAAAAGATCTTGGTTTGGAGCAAGGAACTATCACGTCATTTTGATTCCTCTATGATGCTTTTCGCATTTTTTCTCATTCCTGCCCCTTCTCGAATCGATCCTCCTTTCCCTGAAGATCTTCTCCGATCTTCGTTCTTTGAATTCCGATGTCAATTCCACCTGGCCCTAGAACAACTCTTGGCGGCTGATAGAAACATTGGTTAACTTGTTTGAATCAGCTGTGCGACGCGGTGCATCATCAAATCAAACAATAGGTGATGTAAGCTCACCAAAATCAAGGCTAACTTACAGATTCCTCCACAATATTCAAAATTTTATTTTTGCAGTGTTCTATCAGCTTCAAACATGTTTTGCCATCCTTTTCTTTCTCCTCCTATAGTTTTGAATCATCCATCCAAAAAATTGTTTAGTAGAAATCCTCCTCCCCTGACTGAGACCCGTGGCTTCCCATCTTTATGTTCAAAAATTAGTAGTGACATTTATTTGGGGGATGATAAGTGCAAGCCATCCCCCCTTGCGCACACCAAAATGCATGCCAGCTGCAGATTGGTGTGCACGCTGTGGGAACTCCTTTGGGAATGGTGGCAGTCCTGTGAGGGGGAAATAGCAGATGAAATGTATCACATATGTAATGAAATACTACAACTGTTACGGCTGGTTTGAAAGACCTGTCCCTCAATTGTACTACACAACAATTAACACAACAATTTATTTATTGTTGTGGCAAAACTGATGATGCTAGAGAAAACTATGTGTAGCAGTCTCTTGTCAAACCTAGATCAATGTGGATTCAGCAGACTATTTGAGTGGAATTGTTGAGTAAGAGGTGTTTTTTTATGTTTATGTATTTTGAAAAATGATTGACATATGTGCTGACTAGTGTCTAAGGGAGGCTTTGCCATCACTTTTCACATAAAAATGATTCATGTGAGATTGAGAGTACACATGTAAGCATAAAACAAAGGAGAAAGAAGTAAAGATCTGATTTATTCAAGAAGGCAAATATTCATTGTTTTTGTCGGTGAGTGAGATTTCCATCTCTTGATGGCCAATTGAAATCAAAGAGTTGCTTTTTGAGCAGTTTTGAGTACTTGATTAACATTAGCTAACAATTGGTCTTTGTATGATTTAATTCCGTGATAAAAAACAAAAAACAAATGAAAGATAGTTGAATAAACTGATTGGGGGAATTTTCAGTCAAGAATTGGATTGAAGATCACTTGATAATCAAAGATGATGAATAAATAAGGGACAGACCTTTGCCAACCACACTAATAATCCCAGCTTTCTTAAATACTTCATAGTGATTAGGCTTCATGTGAGAAATCCAAATGATCACAAGTCGATCAATGTACTTTTACAAGATTTCTCTCAAGATCTGCAAAGCCAAGACATCAATCTAATTGACAGCTCCAAGGTGAAAGGCAATCATCCTGGTAACCTCTTGTTCTTGCTTGGCCAAAGGATGTCTTTTTTTGGTATTAAACTAAAATATAACACCCAGGTAAGAGGATTGAAAAATGAGGTTTGAAATTTGGATGTACGCACACATTTCCAACCGCCGCAATCCTTCTTTCAAACCATCTACATTAGGTGACTCTCTGATCTTAACAATCAGTACGCCAGGAATTTCTTCTTTGATTTCTCTGGCCACCTCTGCACTTTCAGTATTCTTGGTATTGATTGGCCCCCAGGTGCAATTGATTGGATCACAATCTAAGATTATGACTCTCATTGTAGTGGCATCTTTGATCGTTATTATCAAGCTGACTACAACGGAAATCAGGATAGCGGTTTTGATTTCATCTACCAAGGTCAACAAAAATGTTGCCTAAGAATCAGATTTCAATTGGACCATTAATCTGTCATCAATGATTGGAGAGTTTATTTTTTCAGTCAATAGAAAACATCAAAATTAGAATCTCTGATTGGAAATTGTATTCAGATTGACTTAAGGTCATTAGAGCTAGCTCAGTCCAACATCCCAAGTTCCAAAAAAAACATAAAGTCTTCTGGAAGTTCCACAAATAAACTGAAGATCAATAAAGAGATCACGACTTCCAAAAATAATTTGGGAGAAAGAACAGATAGTCCAGCAAGAAGTAACTGGCAACAATAATCGTCAAACCAGTGATAATTGAAGCCATAGGAGTTGAGCACCAGCGGTTGCGTTTAGCCTACTTCTGGTGATCAAGCCATATGCTTATGTGAGACAAGGAAAAGAATAGGAAATTCAATTTTTGAAATTCAACTCTAAGAAGTGGAAAAGAGGGGGGGGATTTTTACCAGGTATATTTCCCATCACAAAGGATGTGGCTATGTTCGCTTCTCCCAGAGCAAAAAGTTCCCTGCTGGAACTGATGGCATAGTGGAATCTGGCAGGTTCACCCTTTGCAACAATGATTGACTCGACAAGGCCACAGAGAGTGTGAATGCTGTACCAAGCGTATCTTTGCCAAGTTTTTTTGAGACACCTTTCCATGGTAAATCAATTTGAACTTTGCTATTGATATCAAACCAAGGACGGTGACAGCCTTTTGATTCCAGTTGTAGAGATCGGTGATGAAGCTTGCAATGGCTGCTGTGATGAGGATCTTTGGGCAGATATTTCAAACCTGGGAACTTGAGCGTGCAGAATTTAGTCGATTGTAGTATAGTTCACCGGATTAAGACTTGAAAGAATGAAAGTGATAAAGCCAATGTTCATAAGGCAGGGAGAGGCACCACATAAAGCCCTATAACTTGTTGAGAAACAAAAGCGCCCGGAAGTGGTAAAAGATGTGGTTGAGAACAACGCTGCCACAGATACGGTATCTGCCCGTATCTGCCATGTATCACTATGTATCTGAGCCCCAATAAAAAAAAAATATCTGACCAATCTGCTTTTATTTGCAAGGAGATTCAACAAATTTGGTTTTTGGCCATGCTGCTTTGCAGAATTCTCCATGATACACACAGTGTATCGTATCTGTGGCAGCGTTGTTGAGAAGAGGAAAAAAGGAGCAAAAACATATATGGAAAAATATTAATGAATGGATCAGGCAATGGGCTTGAGAGCAAGGGATCAGGCCCTATCACTTGTTGAGAAAGGAATGTTATTTTTTACATTATTATCCGGGATTGGGCATAATAGAGGATAAGTAGCGCAGCGAATGCGTTGTGAGGCGTTATTGAATTGGGGTAGTAGAGAGAACAAAAGCGGACTAACATTATTTAAGAGGACAATGGCGGAGATAGGAATTTCAAGTATGATTGAATGCTAGGTTCCAGTACAAGAATTCATGTCCTTGTTGACATTGCTAGTAGAAATACCTGTTCCAGATCAGGCGGTTTGAGGTTTAATGTTAGACTTTTCCAATAATGAATGGGAATTTATGAGATGATATTGAGAAAAAATGTGACTATGAAAGTGTCTTTCCCTTCCTCCTTAATCTTGTTTGAGAGCACAATGGGTTAAGATCACTTTCTCTTGTTTTAAAAGCACACGTACTGGTTGTTACTTTCCTTTTCCTCCACTTCTCAAGGTCTGAATGATCTCAATGGGGCACTTGATTAAGATCACTCTACTTAATGTATGGGTTGATTGCTCTATTCTGTCTGGTTGCTGATCAGATGAGATGATGATCTGATGTGATGAGATGCCATGAGATGATGAAAAGTTGGAATGAGGGGGGGGGGGCAGCCCTCCTTAAATAGTCTATTTTACAACCTATAATCTATAAATGGCCAACTTGTGGTTCTAGACCTAACATGTAAATGTGTAATGACCAGCTGGTGGTTCCAGCCCTAACCAATAATGAATATGCATCTAAAAAATATGGCCAAATTGTGGTTTTCCCCGCTATACAAAATTCTCAGTGTACATACAAACAATGTGGCCAACTTGTGGTTCACATTATGCAATAAGCATTTTGTATGCAAATAAAATTTAAATCCCAAATAACTTTTGACTGAGTGGAGCTAGCCTAGTGGTTTCAGTGAGTGACTATGGGTTAAATGACACATAGAATCTGATTAAATAATAACACCAAGAATATAGCCTATTATGAAGAGTGGATCATGAATTTATGCAATTAGGTACTTGAAACACATTTGGCACACTACAGCGCCTGCACGCCATTGCAGAATGGTGTGCAGGCAGACACGCCACTTGCCATCAGGTTGGCTTGCCTACCTGCACGCCCAATATATGTGGTCCTAAACACATATTTATATGTGTTTAGGACCTGTGTGGTCTGTCAAATCAGCACTGGTGGTAAGAACACCATAAATAACCCAGTTATATATGCTTGTTAAATCTTAGATCAGTTTACAGTTCGGTACCACAACTATCTTCCAATGAGATCCTCTGATCTTGGCATGTACCACAAACATCTTCTTACAAGATGGTCTTCTTCAATCAAGGGGGAGACACTTAACAAGCCTCATGAGTCATGGTCTATCAACCATTGTTTTTCTTATAGAAAACCCGAGGTTTTGCAGGTTGATGCATTGAGTGATTACTTGGACTTGAATGGTGACGTAACAACTGCACATCTATACAAACGTAGGAAAAGGATGACAAAAGAGACGAGTGTGACGGGGATGACATATAGACACATGTCTCTCTTTATTTTTTTTGAACACAAGTCTCCCGCCCTCAACCCCCCCCCCCCTTCCCCGTTTGTCATAAACAAAGTAAGACAGCCCCAAAAAACAAAGGGGATGAATGGAAGTGAAAAAAAGAGTGGATGAGATGGAGGTTCGAGAGGGTATCCGGAAAAGGTGATTATATCGAGATGAGCAACAAAGTAAGAGACAAATGTTTCTTGGAGGAAATCATTAATGAAGGTTCATGAAGATGGGGAGGACGGGCGTTCTATCTGATTGTGCGAGTTTTCTGGGGATGATTCTGTTGTTGTTGTTGATGATGATGGTGGTGGTGGGCCGACCTGACCTGTCAAGAAGCTCAACAAGCTACCTTTCATTCTAAAATGTTTCCAAGTGGGGGAAGGAAATATCAGTCAGAAACAGCATAATAACCTTAGTCGTATAAAAAGAATATCGGGCAATGAGTGGGAGGATACGCAACTCGACCATCTGTCGTTCTCTGTCTTCTTCCATCAATTTCTTGAATGTACCCTCGTTCTCTTTCCAGTACTTTTGCTCCTCGACGTATGCCTGTTGAGCTCGAGCCCTATCTTTTTCGACCAATAGTTGAGGCGACTCATCCTTGTTACCCTTTTTAACCGGTCAGATGTACATAATTTTGTTTAGCTAGAAATTCAAGACTAGTTACCCAGCATAACTGAGGTGATGAACTCACAGAACTCAATCCAAACAATTGACGAAGATCGACATGGAATCTGGATTTCCGCTTCTCCTGTTCTTCATGCCATTTCAGTAAGAGTTCCTTTTTCTGTCTGGCCTCCGACTCAGCATAAGCCCGAATAGGATCCCGGCCTTGGTAAGCCCTCGCGACGTCACGGACATCGTCAACGGCATTGAAGACGATTGCCTCTAGGAGTGGGATTAGGTCAACCAGGGAAGTATCGTTTGGGTCTCCGTTCCACTTGGGAATCAAAAACCCATTGGTCGGATGTAATTGAACGAGGCGCGGATCAGTCTCAACGTAGACCACTTTCCTCAGATCTCGTCCTAGATAATCCAAGTCTTTTATCAACTGAGGTTTGATCAATCCTTTCGTCCGACAACTCTCTTTGAACAATTTGTACGGCGTGCAATACCCATATGGATCTAGCTTTTCACATATCGGGGCTGCGGTCTTTATGATTGACAATACCATTGAGGGTAGAGCAAGATAAGAAAAGGAAACAAATCAGCTTGCTGTGTCCATCTCACCAGAGAAAGTTATTCTTTTTTCTTATAAAACGGGAAATGAAGAAATGCGAGAGAACTTTACATATGCTGGCTGTGTCGTGAAGATTATGATTTCGTATAGTTGAGATAAGTAGCTCAAGAAATAATCAACCCCAGGCCTTTTCGCCGTCCTCCAGCCATGTTCACGCTAAAAGATCCAACAGCAACCAGCATCAATCTTCATGTTTTTTTTTTCAAGACGAGTAACAATCTTCGAGGGGACCTACATCCCAGCTCGAATGGACAAGCAGATCATCTAGATCGACAAGAAGGGTGTAAGGCCTTCCATGTGGTTCAGGTAAGGGGGCTGGCAAGAGTGGATTCCACGCGGGTTTGTTGAAGTACTATAATAAAATCGAACATGGATCTCGCAGTTAGTTTAACATTCTTGGATGTGAAATTGAATGAGATATATGAGTCTGTATAGACAGAAGAAGAAGAAAAGAAAAGCAGCTGACATCAAACAGATCAAATAGTCGAGCCTGCAACCTCGACAGACGAGTGCCATCCTCACCTTTCCCGAGCATCCGTCTCTCGACCTCATTATCCCAATCCCGAGTCTGACTCCAAGCCCAGATGCCAGACAAGGTGAGGATCAATGAGCCGAGGAGCCGAGTGACTAGCTGGCGGCGTTGATCTGTTGATGAAAGTGGTCTCTTGCCATCCAGCTTAGATTTTGCACCGGTTCTTCCTTCGGGTGGGGGTGGGGGTAGGTCCGATGTTACCTGGAGCATCTCGGCGGCAAGAGTTGATGAGGAGGTCTCGGTGGGCAGTTCGGGATGATTTGATGAGGATTCATCTGGGCTCGATCGAGGAGAGTCCTTCGAATTGATCTGGCCAGAGGGAGATGATTCTTGAGGTTCAGATTTCGATTTCTCAGCATGGTTTTCTGGAACGGCTTTGATGGTAGTTTGAGAGCGATTCGATTCAGGATTAGATAGTTTGTTCTTCGTTCCCTTCTTGGAGGTAGGACTAGCGGGCTCTGTACTTGATCGGAGAGTCTTGGGGTCCGAGGGCGGCTTGGAAGAAGCGGATCGGAGTTGATGGGCAAGGAAGTAGGATGGAGGAATCTGATGGAAAGACGGGCTTGGCCTGAAAGGTTGAATCCGAGTACTCCTGAAAGCCAACAGCGATAATCTGAGACCAATTGCACCCATGTCAATATAATGATTCAGCGATCCTCCGAGTCGAAGTCTCGCGATTTATATTTAAGCTGAAATGAAAAATTCCGTGTTAGTACTTGCAGTTCTTGAGACAGCCTGATGGAAAACCAGGTACGAGGGACTCACTTGATGGTTGCTAAATATAATCGAAGGAATCGTGGACTTGAGTTTGACACTGAAGCCGGAGGAGAATACTTGGCAGGTCAGATAGGGCAGAAACCTAATCAGGAAAAAGTCAGAAAACCGATCGAGCTTCAAAAAAAATGTATTATTCATCTTTGCAAATATGCAATTCACTTTTAGGGTCACGGCATCCAGACCCAGTAGGGGCTCAAGCACATAACACTCCTCAAGAACTGGTCTGGCGGTAGACAAGAATCGCAGAAGAAAGTCCATCCGTCCTTTTTTGGTGGAGTGGTGATTCAAGTATTGGAAGAGTTTGCTTCAGAAAGCGGATGTAAAGATTTCAAAATGTACAAGTTCCACAAAATTTTAATTTTCCAAGGCAAATAAATCAACTCAACATTTAACAATGTGGAAATTCCCCCCCCCCCCCCCCAAAAAAAAGGCAGTGATTCGGTAAATAAACCTAGACCCAACTTGTTCGTCTTACAAAAAATAAATAAATAGAGAAACAGATTTATAAAGAAATGTGAAGATTTCATGAACGTGAATAATAAGATTTCAAGCGTTGGTTTAAGATGAGGATAGAGTAAGAGAAGAGATCATTGAAGAACATTTTCGGATAATGGGACACATAAGGATGTCTCTCTTCGAGCAAGATATCACGAAGGATCTGATATTCGGATGGCAAGCTTTTGATGAATGCCGCTAGTGAGAGCCACAATTTAGCCAACAGATCCCTGCCACAAAACTTCTTGTAATCCGGATCATCATCATCATCATCAAGATAATTGATCGAAGTCGAAGACTTCGTTGTTGTTGTTTTCGAAGGATGATGATGACGGCGAGTCGAAGACAGGGATTTTTTTCGAATTCGAGGTTTTTTAGATTTCGGTCTGACGTAAGTATGGAGCTCGCCCAGATGGACCTGGACGATGCCCAAGAGCCTATATCTATTGAGAGCATTCTCGAGCAATCGGGCACTATAATAATCGCGCAGAAGAGCCCGCTGCGCCGGGTCGGTGATCCTTTCGGAGTCGTAGACCGGGATGATCGTCGCAATCATATCCACATAGAAGATGAACAACACAAATTCGTTCTCCACCAGCTTTTGCGAGTATCCGGCCTTGTGCAGCACCTCCACCGTCTCGAAGTGGATCCCCGTCCGCTCGCCCCAGAACTTGTACCATAGTCGACGGTTCTTGAACACCAGATTCGTCGCCTCCGTCAGCATCGATCGTCGCTCCGCCAACCTCATTTTCTTCACCCTTTTCGTCCGCTCGGGTCCTCGTGAACGATCACCATCTTCAAGTTTTTGCCGTTTTGGACTTAGCGGGGAGTGGTCTTCTGCAAGTAACGCTTGAGAATGGACGATCTGTTTGATCAAGTTGCGGTACCTCTTGATCGAAGGACAATCCAAAATGACGAGTTCTTTGGACGGAGTCGCTTGGATCTCGTCGATGAACTCTTGATAGAACCCTTCATGATGGTCTGTCTGCGCCATTCCTTCCGCAGATCCAAACCGAAACACTTGGGCGTCAAACCTGAAGATTTTCGACCTTTGATCGTCACGATCCGTTGGGCTGGAAGTTGAACCACGTCCGAGAAATCTGGGAGGCTCTGCTGTGCTGTGCTTATCATCCCCTGTCGGTCTAGTAATCAAGCCTTGGGCTTTCGACTTGTTGTTGTTGTGGTTCGTCGGAATCGGACTGACTCGATCAAAATCCACCCATGTTTCCTCTGATAAGATCTCACCTGACTGTTGGTTCAATGGCCCCCCTCTGTTCGAATGAGTCTCAGGAGGATGAAGTGGCCCCAAATTCGCAACACGCATGTATGATTTTCCAATGTCTTTGAAGAAAGGGTGATGATTGAACCTTCCAGAATTTGGATGCTCTGGGTAAAAAGGTGGAGGAGTGTTAGTTGGAGAAAGCTGGATCGGAGGAAGCTCGGAATGGAGCAAAGCTTGATAGGAGAAATTGACGGGGATTTCCGGATTAGAAGTGTCGGAAGGTGTCGCTGTTGCAGGCAGATTGGAGTAATTAGGACCGGTGGGCGAAGACTGATGCATGCCAAGCGTAGGTGTTTTCCCGGCCAGCGATGGATGTAGAGTTGGATGGTCGGACGATTTCGAATGGCTCTTGTTGATGTTGTTGTGTCTCCTGTTCTGACCAAGAACTTCAACCAAGCCTTGTTCTAGGCCTCGCAAGAGGGATCCAAGATCCGATGGTTCAAGGAGCCCGTTCTGGGACATGGGCTCTGGACTAGCTGAGTGTCCGTTGATGTTCGTGACCGTCATCGGTATTCTCGTTTCTTTTCTGTTTTGCACACTGCCAATGAAAGCCCCATTTGGATTTGATAATCCGTTGGATCCTGGTATGAGTGACTCGCGGTAGCCAAGTTCATTATTCTCTTGGACCATGATTCCCCGATGATTTGGAAGATGAGATGTTGAGAGTCTGGGGTTTTCTATCATTGCTGGAGGTTGTATGGGGCCATGATCAGGTATTGTTGGAATACAAGTTACTGGAGGCTGAGTACTCCTACTGGACTGATCATTAATTACCCCCTCCGATTGTGTTCGGTAATATCCAGCAAATTGGTTTCCATTTGAGTTATGATTGACTGATTCCTGCTCCTCAATCTCATGAAGGATGTGAAACACGTAGTTCTCCCAGTCGGCTTGTGATAAGGGTGGACTGGAACTTGAAGTGTGTTGGGAAGACCTTGGAGGGTTTTCTGGAAGAACGTTTTCTGAAAACCTAGTTAATGACGGAGCTTGTTGATGATCTAACCAAACTTGATCGTAATATTGTGGGTGGTCATGATCGGTGAGGCCTATTGCTCGTCGATGGTTTGGATGGGGTAAATCTTCAATGTTCTGCTTCAAGCCAGCTGATGAATCGCAATATAAACTTCTTCCGACTTCAAACTGTGTTTTTTCAGTAATAAGACTTTGTGATTCGGAGTTGGATGGAATCGTTGTCATGGTTAATGGAGGACCCTTGGGAAACTGATGATCACTAGAGAGTATCGGAACTTGGGCACTTGCGAAGGTTTCTTGGAAGATCTCATGGCCGGATTCTGGATGGTCTTCCGACGATTGATGACCAAGAAGAGACTCTAGAGAATAGGGTGAGTGCTCGAGAGCATCGCACTTGAAGCAATTTATTAGACCAAGGAGTATGAACAACTGAAGCATTCCAAAGGAATCGATCATGAAATTATAGCCCGCGTGTTTATGTATACTGAGCTTAAAGAATCCTTGCTCCTTCTCAATGAAGCTTTATAAAGAGTTTACGAACACGGCTTTTGTGTATGCAGTGCTTCTGGAATTTAGTTTTGAAACCATGAATGGGCTGTTGTATCCTTTTCCAGGATTCAGGACATCCCAAGAATCGGATATTGTAGTTAGTTCAGTCAGTCCCAGTCGAAACTTGATGGATCTCAGCGCTTGAATTCTATAATGATCTGGACTTGTGACGGCAAGGGTTTTCTTGTTGTGTAGGCCCCGTAATTAATTATAAGACATATTATTTCATTGTAGCCTCTGGGATATGGTGTGTATGTATCGTAGTTTTTGAAAGCCTCTGCTGCAAGCAAATCGTACAAAGCACGTGTAGATTTTCGTGTGTACCGGCCTGCAATGTTGATGGGTGTGGCACTACCAAACACCCGTGATGATGATAAGCGTTGCACTAGTACACTGGTGAAGGTGCATACATCTCAAGGGGATTGAGCATTCTTAAACTTGTTTAGCAATCGAATTAAACAATTGACGATCTCCACAGGATGATCCTGGCACCGGCGACGGGAAGGCTCGGATGGCCGAGCGGCTTCCCGTGTCTTCTGCCGTGGACCGCGGGCCTCTCTCGGGTGGGGGGAATAAGGGATCATGGGGAGCAGATGTTTACAGAGTGTTCTTCTGGTACTTGGCCTTGCTTCTTAGCATCTGCTTTGATGAGAGTGCAAAGCCTGAAGGATGCGTGTCCGTAGATTGATGTGGGCTAGGGAACCGGGGTTCGGGATGACGTACATTAGTGTCAATTAATGGGTTGATCAGGGCACAATTATTTACTTTTAAATGTTTTGGTAGGTTTCGGTTGTTTTGTTGTTGGTTGGATGATGATGAGAAGCTTTTTGTGTGGCAACCGATCAGTGGAGGCTGTGCTTCTGGCAACCAACTGGTTTTTGCAGTTCATCATCATCATCAAAAGCTGCCGGCGTTTGTGAAATACAAAGTGGAAGTGTTTAAACATCAGCACCCTCACAAAAATCATTTACCCGACAAATATGCATCCAAGAACAATCTCCCACCTCATCAGACGGTCAACAAGAACCACCCATCACCATCATCATCATCACTACTACTACCACTACTACTCAACCCAATCACCAAAAACAACAACAACTATCAACAACAACAACAACAACAACAACAACCCAATCTCAAGACCACCAGCACAAGCCACTCAACCATACCCAGAACATCATCATCAGCACCAGACTATCAAACCACCGACCATCAACGGAGGTCCAATCGATCTCTACCAGGAAAGAATCAAAGCCGGCCTACTCAACTATGACCCATTCCAAGTCTCAATCCTCAACCAACTCCAAGAACTCTATCAGACCCTAGCCGATTATCATCCACAATCATCATCATCATCATCATCAAACCAGCACCACCAATCATCTTCATCATCTAGCTGGGTAAAAATATCTCTGATTACCATGTCCAGAAAAAACTATTCAATCTGATTCTTCTTCTGTTGCCCTTTTTCTCTAGTTTAGGAGTCTGTTCTCTCAATCTACTCACTCGGATAACTTCAACAATGTCTCACTCGAGCCGACCTCTGATCTACCAAGTGGGATTTATCTTTACGGCTCAGTAGGAACAGGAAAATCAATGGTAAAGCACCATTTCATTTCCAACTCTTCATAAAAAAACAGAGAAATTTGATTGGAGATATCACATTATTGATTCTTAATGTTTTTTTGTTTTTGGGTGTATGATGAAAAATGAAAAAACAGCTGATGGATTCATTCTACGAGTCCTTGAAGAACTTGCCTAACCAGGCCTCGCTGCCGGCCAAGAGGATCCACTTCCATCAGTTCATGGTCGACATCCACAAGCGGAACCACAAGCTACAGAGCGAGCTCCACAGGGACGGTCAGCTTGGTCAGGCTGATGTCTTGATCACTATCGCCAGGGAAATCGCACAGGAATGTAAGGTGCTCTGTTTCGATGAGTTTCAGGTGAGAGAGTCAGGCAGGATATCTTGATTTTTTTTGTCAGATTCGACTTGCTCTGCTGTTCAACTTATCAATTTTTTTTTTATTTCACCATTCCTTCGATCAGGTCACCGATATCGTAGACGCCATGATCTTGAAACGTCTCTTGGAAGGCTTATTACATTATGGAGTAGTGACGATCATGACTTCCAAGTTGAGTGATCGATCTGCTCGTAATACTTAGATCCCGACAAACCGACGATACTGAACAAGTTCTATGATCCAGTCGACATCCAGATGAGCTGTACAAGAACGGGATCCAACGGGAGTCGTTCCTAGGATGTATCGAATTAATCAAACGACGGACGCGGGTGATCGACCTGAATTCGGGCACGGACTATCGGAAGCAATTAGGGAGCAGTGGGGGCGGTCTCTCGACGGTCTTCTTGAGTCCGATCAGTGCCGAGAACCGGGCCGAGTTCGCCAAGCGCTTCGATGCCCTCACCGATCACGAGCCCATCCTCGAGAACCGCCTCCTGCCCATCTGGGGCACCCGCCATATTCCCGTCCCGCTCAGCACTTCCTCCGTCGCTTGGTTCGACTTCAATCAGCTCTGCGCTTTCCCCCTGAGTGCCGCCGATTACCTCCAAATCGTCTCCAAATTCAACGTCCTCTTCATCAATAACGTCCCCAAATTATCTAGCTCTCAACGCGACTTTGTCTGTCTTCTCTCATCTCCCCATCTCAAGAGTTCAATTCCAAACTAACTCTTGCTGTTCATTTTTGGAACGAATGATTTACTAGGCTCGTCGATTTATCTTATTCCTAGATGCCGCATACGAAAGCAAGACCAAACTGTTTACGCTATCAGAAGTTCCCAGTGAGTCGTCAAAAAAATCCATTTTTTTTTCAGTACTATTTCCCCCCCTCTCGCCATCAACCTATCTTTTGAATGTTTGACTTAAAATTGTGGGTCATCTTGGCACGTGATGTAGTTGCGCAGATCTTTTCGGGTGAGTCGAGTTCCTCAGAGGCGATGACGGCGGAAATGCGCGCGGCAATGGACGATCTGGTAAGTCAAGTGTGATCCTTGACCAGCATCCACGAAAACTCAGACCGTGCCGTTTTCCTGACGAATGTGTGTGTGTGTGTGATTTGGATGGGTGGTATGGAAACAAAATTAAGGGATTGGATTCGAAGACGATCGGGGCCTCCTCACTGTTCTCTGGCGAGGAGGAGACCTTCGCATGGGCCCGCGCGGTGTCCCGGCTTAACGAGATGGGCTCCCTCCAATGGTCCCTCTCCTCCAGCCCTTCCTCCTCCTCCTCCGATCAATCCACTCGTCCTAAACCGTTTGCTCATCCTGGCCATCCTCATGCCCCGGCTCCTGTCGGCGCTTCCGATCTCGTCTCGGTCGTCCAGGACGGCGATGGCTCTGAACTCTTGACTCATTAATTCATTCTGACTCTTCTCGTTTCCTTTTTTTAAAAAAAACTAATCTTAATCTTTCTGCAAGTTCCTCGGAGTGCTCTTTTCATCTCACTTCTTCAAACTTAATCATTCGTCCTCTTGAGTCTCTCCATGGCCACCAGTAGAATCAGCTTATTCACTACTGCTCACTCATCACATGCAGTGCTTTCCTCGTTGTACTTTTTATGCTTTGCTTTTGCATCCTGGTTCAAATATAAACAAACCATCTCCACAGTACTTGTATCTTTTTATTTTCATCTGAATCTCTTTTTTTCCTTTTCCGGTGGAGGCAATGGAAAGAAAACTTGTCATGAACTTGGAGCTGGGTTTCTATGAATTAGTACATCTATAAGAAGGCTTGGCTTTATGTTCCAGAACCGCAAGCTCAGTTTTTTTTTTGGCTCAGTGCGGCATCTGATGAAGACACTTTTGCGAGCTTAACTAGTCCTCCACGGCGGGAGCGATAGCGAGCAGCAGAGCTGTCCACGCCAGTAGAGGCCTATGCCTTAAGTCGCAAGTCCCTCGTGGCAAGATTACGGATTTGGGCCTGAAGCCCGTCTTTCAAGATACATTGTTTGTACACACTAGGCCGGTTCACCTCTGAAGTTCAAGGCAACTTTTAGCACTTTTATGGATAAAATTTTACAAATTTTGTCAAATCTCATGAATCATCAGGTTTGGAGGGATTTGAGATTTTTGACAAACTTGGAAAATTTTAATGATAAATGCCAAAAAACTTGCTCCAAAGTTCAGACGTGAACCGTCCTACTTTCTTGTTCTCATTCATTGACTTTGCTTCACAGGCATGGAATGCCTGCTTCTTCTACATGTTACTGCCTTCTCCTCTTGTTTCTGACCTTCCGAGTTTCTTTGCTTCAAAGACGTGACAACTTCTCAACTTTTGCCGGTGTGCGCGAGTTGATCAAACTGCTTGCATAAGCCTAAAAAAGTTGAAATGGTGAATTCATAAAATCATTATTATTTTAAAATCACAACCACCTGCAGCTGTTTTGATTTATGGTTGGATGGAAGCTAACATGCAGCCAATCAATAAAATCCAACCAAACATCAAAAGGGTTGGGAGGAGCTCACGTGGTTGCAACATGAAAGTTGCTCCCACCAAAACACTTCATTCTTGGCACGCAAGTGTGCCGACCTATGGCTCAAGTCTCCCCTACGGGGAGTTCTGGGGAGTTCCCTTTGGGAACCGCCTGGCCAGCGCTACGCTGCCAGATGCGCCCCCCACAGCAGAGACTTGAGATAAGTTTGGCACTTTTGCTTGCTATGGATCAAGTTGTTGGGTGAGGAATCATGCAGCATACTTGGTTGAGTGTGTTTGAGAGGGCTAGTCATCAGGCTCATCAGACTTTGCAATTGTTCAACTAAGATGACATGTCCGCTCCTAGCTTAACAAAGCCTCTCCCGGGGCGTCCCCGTGGGACACTCTCTGTAGAAGAAGCTTATGAGTCAAGTCAAAAATTTGGCTGGGACAGGAAGGATTTTCAAGTCTAATACCACATAATAAATTTTCAAAAAAAAAAACACTTCCTTGAAAGAAATTATGAATAGACAGCTTTGTCAAGCATCTCAATGAGCATTTGGGATTCATAAGTTTGATTTCCTTGTGGATCTTGGTTGATTTTTGTTTTGTGTTTTTGAGGAAAAATCATTTTTCAAAAAAAAAAAAAAAATGTAGAAGGGGAACCAGGGAAAATGTTGAAGGGATGAGACCACCTTCAAATGAAAGCTGGGACCCAAAAGTTTAATCTGACTCTGGGCCAGGCTTGTAGAGGATTAGGATAAGGATCCAGGGCTTTAACAAATTTCATTCCAGCCATTCTTATTTCCTGTCCCAGCCCAAATTTTGGCTTTGTACAAAAGTCCCTCCCTGCGGCAGGGGGCGCTTTGCCTGCAGAAAAACCGACTGCAGGCAAGGATAAGTTAGCGTCCGCTCTTTATTGATCAGGCTGTGTAAGACACTGGTGAGTGTTCTATAACAAAGTACGCAGTGTTGAATCCATGCTATATTCATAATCAAAGCTCCCACAAAGCATCTTTCTTCTTGGGTTGCACAGGTTCTCTGTCTCTTGCTTGGTTTTCTGTTTTCCGCCTGTTCATCTTTTTCATTCATGTCACATGTCTGTAACTCTTCTAGAGTGTACATAGTCACTCTACGACAGCTGTCATGTTGTGCAAGTTCCTCTTTCCTCATCCTTCCTCCAACTGTCAGGCTGGCCTAGATGAGTCTAGCTTCTCTGCTTCTTTTCTTCTCTTTCTGTTTCCCAATCATGCAAATCTCATCCTTTCTCAAACTGTCTGTCTGGCCTACATTCATTGAATGATTTTTGTAAAGAAAACCAACCTCAATCTTGGAAGATATTTTTTTGCCCTTCTATTTCGTATCAATGTAGGGACTTTGGAAAAAAAAAACATTTGAAGAAAATGTTGATAAGCTTTCAGACTTGCATTTTTTTTCTCTTTATTAGAAAAAGTATGCTATAACACAGGAGGAAGGGACTCTCAGTACATTGTGGAAACAAATTTTTCTATCTTCTCTGGTGAGTAAGATCTTATGTGCACATTGGGAATCAGGATGAATCAAAAAAAAATGTAAAAGTACAAGGTTGATATGTTGTAACTTCTAAATCAAGGTTGTTTATTACATGCCAAATCAAAGCTGGCTGGAGTTACATTAACAAAGAAATTTGGGTTGAATAATGGTTTTCCTGCTTTTGGCTGAGGTGCAGAGATGTACATCATCAACTTCTCAAATCTGGTCAAAGAAAGAAGAAGAAAGAAAAAAAAAAACTGGATTTGAGGTGGGTGGGTAGAGGTAACTTACTGCTAAAGAGAAGGAGCCTACTGAACAGCACTTTGTCACTTGAAAACCGTTGCCCAGCTTTGTGCAATCGGCTGAAGTTGTTACTCCCTGTGCAATCCGCTGCACAGGTTGTGCAACTACAAATCACAACAACAAGAAACAAGTTAGATTATGTAGCTGATTATAAGTTTGAATCAATCATTGCAATGTTTTTTTTTCTCCCCTTTTTTGTTGGATGAATTGAGGATTTGAATTATGTAAACGTACTGGTAACAAAGCCATCAGTTTTCTTTCGATTGTCCTTGAAACAGAAATGGATTTTGGTTTCGGATGTTTCGACTTTATTGCATGCGTCATCAGGGCGCATGATTTTGCCAAGAACCGCGGCTCCTAAGCCGACAGCTCTGGCGCTGTGGTGAGTGAGCTCACAAGCTACCAGAAAGCAGAGTACTAAAATCTGTTTGAAGGTATCCATTTTCTTTTGTTCAGCTATCAGAGAGGGGGTGGTCAAGACAAGTGAGATACGTAAGGATTTAGGGAGGTTATAGGGCCAAAGTACGTGAGAGAGCTCAGATGGATATCTTTGAGATTCTTTGAGCAAAACTGTTTTCACAATCACCAACTTGGCTGTATTTGATCAGGGGAGGTTAAATTTTCACGGTGGGAGAAATCTTGAACTGGCCAGTCTGGGGTGCGGTTTAAAAGGCCTTCAGAACCTCGCATGTGCGTTTTCGTGTTGGGTGATACATATAAGGGCTTGAAGGAGGTAGCTTGTAGAGGAGGGACCAATGAGCAGGACAACACCAATGATCGTCAAGAGTCGACTATGGAAGAGTCATGACAACCTTACGGCGACCGGCGCCGGTCGGTTCACGAAGGTCGACGACGTATAATCTGTTGCAATTGCTGATGCACCGAGCTTCGGAAGCGTCGGTTGTGCCATAAAGCTCGCACTGCAGCACCGCGTATCTTCTTTGTTGCGCTCATTAGTGCAACCAGCCACCGGTTGGTAAAGCAAATCGACAGAACTCGGGTGATTTTGTTGCACTTTGCTCAAGATAAATTGAACTTGGGTTATCGATGAAAGGCTCTCGATTGAGGGTAGGGTCAAGCCTTGAACCTGCCAGCCTGGAACGGGATTCTCTAAACTTTCAGAACTTGGAATGTGTGTTGTTGGCCGATGGTGCCAGAGAGACCGACAGACAGGACAACACTGCAGTGATGTCGAGGTGGAAGATGGAAACGGCCATGACCTCATGAGTCATAAGGATACCAACTTGCAACAAGCGGCTCCGGTCGGTTTACATAGCTCATCAGCCCCTCGACTGCATTTGTTGATTCACCGAAGGCCGCATTGTTCAACCGGCACCCGTCGGTTGGCAATGGTCACGGCACACAACACCTTGGTAGCCCATTTGCTTCCCATGTTTCCATGTTACCTCTCCATTGTGGCATATTCTGGACATCTTTTTTTGATCCCTGTTGTACTTTCTCTTGATTTCTGGACCTTTAGAACTTCATACTATTCAATTGGAAATGTGCAACATATTTTAGATGAGAATGATGGATGATAAACTACGGGGATTGGGTAATGAAGAAGATAAAAAAAATCTTCGAGTTTGATCTTGTTCCCTTTTTCTCTGGGATGTCTCCAACCTTGGTAGTCTAAAGACATACAAATCCTGCGTGTGAATGCCAAAAAAACCATTGCTTATTCTATGGTTAAAAATTTTGGAACTCGCCCAAGTCCTAATTTCGGTGGAGGCAGCACGGTAAGGATGATCGACAATTGTCGTTGGAAAAAATTTGGGTAGACATGATGTCCATCTTGACCATATTTTTGGATTGGAAGTTTCTCTCTCAAAATTTCCAAAGAGTAAAAATCAATTTCTGTTTGCATATTAGATCCCGCATTCCGCAGCGGTCCCCCCGGGCCCCGGGGCGTCGATCGCTTCTGCCAGACGCGTCAAGGACTCTTCAGGCTGAGATACCACCTCAACTTCCTTCAAATCCGTCTCGATGGTAAAAAAACACACTTCGATAGCCATTGCCCCACCCGCACCTCGTCTGTTGGCGAACGACCTCCCTACCGATCGTGACCTGACAGCAGCACAGAAAGATACCCTTTGGGATTTCACTGATGGTGGTGCGAAAATCTGGAAGGAACCGTGAGTGGTTCAACAACGAAAACAAGGATAATCTTTCGAATAACGAGAGGGTTGAGGTTTGCTTATCAGATACATTGTCATCTTTAATCTTTACAGGCAAGATGAACCTTCCAAGTTGACCTCGAATCTCAAACGACTATGGATTGAACGAGGCGACTTCTCTCAATTGACGATCGAAAGTATTGAGAAGCAAAAGGCAAAACCGGTATCAGAACTAGAAGTGCCCAAGAGTAATGAAGACGATGCCGCAGAGAATCAAGCTTCGAAACGATCGGAAACAATAACGGTAGACGAGCTATGGGAGATGAGGATGCAAATGGCGCATCAGCTATTGTAAGCCACATGTCCCTATTTATGTTGAATAGTTCATCCAGCAAACCGAATGCTCGCTAAGAATTATCATGAATTTTTCTCTAGAGTCATGAGTGGTGAATTATCTACGGGATTGGACCTTCTGAACACTCTCCTCGCCCCTTTGGCCCCAGATGCAGTAGATACCACGAGTCTCCCACTACCCCCTGGGGGAATCGCACCAATGACCCACTCCCTGGACCACCTGTCTCCCCAGCCCGAACCAATAACGCTCATCAATTCTTCTGTCTCACTGATGAGGAAGCGAAAAGCGGCCCAAAATGCATCGTGTCTGTTAAAACGCGCCGCAAGTGAATTAGGTCGTGAGGCGAAGCGCTCACAAAATGAATGGGACACACTACTGAAACTTAGGGAAGCCGGTTGGAATATGAGGCCCAAAGGTGCGAAACCTGGGGTTGACATGAGCCTGATGGGAAGGGGTGCCGAGAGAGCGGCAAAAGAAATCGGGATAGCGTATGCTACTACCGAAGGTCTGTTTTCAGATTTCTCGTATTTCCTCCTGATCTTTGCTCGGGAGCCGCTTTGACCTGATATTCCGAATATGTGTAGCCGCCGAAGCGTTGCGCGCCTCTTCATTCGCAAGTCTGGAGCCTCTTAACCTCGATGATCATGAATCCACTCAAATCTCTCTCAAACTACCACCTCGCCCTAGACGGCGGCTTGCCATCACCCTGGCACTACCGAATCAACCGATCGAGCGTTTCTCGCCTTGGGAGAGACATAACCTCGAGGAAATTGACATTCTTCCATTCGGAGAAGACCTGGAGCTCGCTCGCGCCGAAGTGTTGGAAGAAGAAATATTTGGCGAGGTAAGCAAATTCTTCTTCCTGGTGGAATGCGGTCCGTTCGTTGTAACAACGCTCTTTTTTGAGAATTTCAGATTTCTAAGGAGGCACAATCATCTGCTACCTATCGAACCTCGACTTCAGATCGCTCAGTCGTCGTCAAAGGCTTCTGGGAAGATGCCGAAATTTCTTTCGAAATGGTATTTCCTATTTTGTCATCACTTCACGCCTCACTCAGAACTGTCACTCAGTTGATCAGCTGTGCTGTTTTATTCATGTTAGCTTGAAAGTCACGAAGAGACACATACCACGACGGAAATGTCTTCCAAGTGCAGGCTCATTTCCGCGCTCATTCGACTCTTGATGGTATCAATATACAGATCCCGTAGATCATGTGCGATCGGAATCATGACCGCCAATACTCAGCCCTCTCAGCCTAAAATTCTGGAACCAGTTCTTGGCCTGACCGTCTTCTTCATTTACACATATAACCTCCACAATTTATTCTCACAGGCTGTTTCAGATCTAAAGCCAACCAAGTTAGAAGTTGAAGCTGAGCTAGATCCGATCTTGGAGAGCGCGTCAGGGATGGTGAATTTGATATGTGGAAGGAGCAACACCAGTCCTCAAAAGTTAGAAGTAGGTGGCATAGCGGCATTACGCATCATGGGCCGGTGAGTAACCAGCAAATCCTTTAAACTCTACCACAGTCTGGATCACATTTTTCATTTGCTAAAATTATGGTATACAGTCGCTTGGTCACGTTTACTATCACATGTCCGGTCGTTATCTCGTTCTGGTTAAAAGATGAACCGATGAGAATCGGACCTGATCAACTGTATAGTGTTCTAATCAATGGAATCAATCAGTCTATCATAGGCCTGTTGATCGAGATGATCGATAACAAAACGCTTGTGACCAGAAAAGCTCCCACTGGTTTGGTCTGCCAATCAATGAACCATAGCATGTAAGTGCTCCTTTGGTGTGTGATCCCTAATAATGCTATCAAACTCAAGCTGAATGTACATCCTTCTGTCATATTTATCTCTCCGTTGCTGCATGTGTGACAGATTTCTAGCACCAAAGTTTCGATTCGGAACCGGATTAACAATCGAGGTTGGCAACTACTTCGCCAGCAATAAAACGTTGAGCGAGGATGAAAGCATGGCGAAGAACTTGGAGCAGGCACTATTACCATCCTTGGGAAATTATCTGGGGCAAGTCGGATTGGCAGAATGGGTGGAAAGTCTGAAGGAATTCCTGTTGACTTGAAAGACTGCTGCTGCTTGCACTTCATATCAATGGTCATTTGTACTCTACAACACCGAGTGACGTCAGAGAGCTACCGACGCTCCCCTTTTGTATTTTTTTAATTAAATCCATCGATCGAAAAACATGGAGCGAGTGACGTCAGAAAGGGAAGTACGAAAAAGAATCCCCCGAGCCGGGATCGAACCAGCGACCTCAAGATGACATTCTTATCCATTACAGTCTCGCGCTCTTCCAACTGAGCTATCGGGGGGAAGAAACTCCCCCGAGCCGGGATCGAACCAGCGACCTCAAGATCGACTTGATTTTATCCATTACAGTCTCGCGCTCTTCCAACTGAGCTATCGGGGGAGGGGATGACGTAACGATCGCTCAATCGAGTATAAATTTACGTAATCATGATGGCACCGAGATTCATATCCCAAAAGCCAATTTGAAGAGAATGGCATGCCCTGAGATTGGGAGGCAAGAGGGGCTAGACCAATGATTGGCAGGGGCCCTTGCAGGAAGCAACATCACATGATTAATCAGTGATTGGTGTGGTTGCAACTTGAAGCAATCTTGGTTGCAGCTTCACACAATCCTGGTTGCAGCTTGAAGCAATCTTGGTTGCAGCTTCAAGCAATCTGTGGCTCAGTCTCAAGACATCGACCATCAAACAGCTAGCTTAAAAATTCCCTCGACAGAGGGCCGGAGGCAACTCGCAAAGCGAGCCTCTGAATCGCTCTCGAGGGGCGCTTGCGCCCGCCTGGTACAGCAGGCCCTCCAATCGAGGGACTTGGGTTAAGTTAGATCAAACTGTGTGCTCCTTTGAAAAAATATGAAACAGATGTCTGGGCAAGAAATCACAAGATCATGAGTTAACATTGGGTTCTGTTGGGGAGAAATCCCAGGCTGGGAAAACTCGAGCATTTTTTTAATAAATTAAAACCAAAACCAGCCTGAAAAACAAACAAGGATCAGATAGTTCAACCAATAAGGATGTGATTGGAAAGTAACTGGCCTCCCCAGATGTCAAAGATCATTAAGGAGCTAGTAAGACATCGAAAAAATGAGGGAGAAGCATGAGTAGAAAAATAGAAAGAGATCAGGTAAGCAGGGAGATGGAACTTGATGATGGTTGATGCTTTGATTGCTGAATTGGCTTCAGGATGTTACTCTAGAGAGCCAGAAAACTAAGATATGCATTGAATATGAGTTAAGTAAGAGCATATTGATTTCAGTGGAATGATGAGGGTAGAAGAAGAAATGAAAGAACTATACTGGAGAAGAGATTGGTTATTGAGAGCAGAGGGATGCAGAGTGATGATAAATTCAAGCAACAAAGACACAAATCAGACTCCATTCAAGAGTTGTAGTGTAGACATGTAGTGGAGACAAGAAGTGAGGATAGTTGATAACAAAGGCAATATTAGGATCAAATTGATGCAGATTTGAGATTCTGGAGTATGCTGCAGAAGAATGATGATTCAAGTCAACAGAAATTGTTTTAGGATTCACAGAAACTAGCCATTTTTACACAGTACACACATAAATAAATTTCTGTTGTTGGTTTCACAGGGGAGGGGTGCATAGTATGGTTGCAATCAGAAAACAAAGCAAGTGTGTGAATATATAATCCACAACATAATTCAGTTTTCTGATAATCTCTCTTTCTTTTAGGGGTTGAGTTGAGGAGATTGAAGGTGTATGATATATGATGTTGATTCTTTTTATCTCAATTCAGAAATCTATGGTTTTTTTTGGTGACACTATTCACATAATCCATTGATTGCTTGATTTCTTTATCAACATAACCATGTTGCACTTGCTGATTGAAATTAGCCATTCTAAAAAATAATGTCAACCCAAAAACTGAAGTATGGTCAGCAAATTCTGGATTGGAATAAAATTGCTCTTCAAATTCTGGGATGAGGGTTTTCAGTTTTCTGTTATAGTCTTCAATAGTCTTCAAAAAATAATCTTGATTGCTTCTGTTACAGATTTCTTTGTTGTTGTTGTTGAGGAAAACATTGAGATTTTGAAGCATTCTATATGATAAATATGCCTCTGAGTAGCACAGCACCAGTTTCTTCTTAGATCTATACAACTCCAATCTATTCTGTGGGATCAGTTTTTCTTCCATTTCTTCTACTATCCCTTTGCAGTTGATTCTGGTGAAATTCAACATTTGACAGATGGAAAGAAAAATGGAGTTCTCAAGTGAATGGTATTGGTAATTTTTAACAACATATCTATTGGCATCAAACATGAGGTTAAGTATCTCAACCAACTTTCCAACTGTATCTTGCAGGATTTCTTTGGAATTAAAATCAATGGTTTTGCTTTCTCCATTCAAAATGAGGGATCTTAATGTTTGTTGATATTTGTGTATTGCAACCAACTTGAATTTTTGTTTCACTTCAGTTGGTAATTCAGAATATCTACAGGAGGATAGGTGTTTAGAATTTGAGATTTTTGCTGATAAAGAATCAAGTGTTAATATTTTTTCTTCTGTTTCACCCAAAACTGTGGACATCACATGCAAGAGGAAATTTGACAATAAATTTCAGTTTCAGCACTTGAAAAACAAACCAAAATGAGCATAATATAATTACCTTTGAATAACTCATGTGTCAATGGCCAATGCCAGTGCTTGGCAACAGATTCTAACACATCCCAAATGTACACATTACCTCCATGCTCTCTACTTAAATTTGCAGAAACCTGAAATGCAAATCCAAGTGCATGTTTTGCCAATACATTATCATGAAAATATTTTTGGATTTTTTCCTGCCCAATCCAATTTTGCTTGTGAGCAAAATCCATGAAGTTGAAAAGGTATTGCCCAGACACAACAGATTTTTTGTTGTAAAATTCCAGGTGTGTGGCTTGAGAGTTGTAACTGATCATCATTTTCTTTATATCCTCCACAATTGAACAGCTGAATGTTTCCCAAGTGTTCTTCAAAATTTCATAAACCATTTCTTCAGGATATCTATCCAACTGTTTGATAAGTGCTTTATCTCCTTTTTCAATTGAGAACAGTGATTTGAATATCCTTTGACGATTCAAAGAAGTGTTCAAACCTCCTAATTGAAAAAGCCTTAAATCTTTCAAAATTGAGATCTTCTCTTTTGTTTTTTCAAACAGTTCTTTTGTGTATTGAATTTTGATTTTGTCATCTTCACTTTGAAGCTCTGGGGTATGACCCCATGGATAATTCCTATTCTGTAATTGAATACCCAAGATTTCTTCCATGTCTTTATTAATTGAGAGGACTTTGTCTAATAATTCAGACGTAATTTTCTCAGCCAGATCTTGTTTATATGTGTTCTCTGCAGGAGGCTCAATACTTCAAACTTACCATGATTTCTTTCCCAAAATCGTGATAAAATTAATGCTGAGGAAACAAAACTATCTTCATAAGTACAAGCACTGAGACAATTGACCAGTTTAATGCTTTACTCACCTTTCTTGGGGTGCAAATTCTTCAATAGATGTGAATCCTGAATTAATATTTGAAAGACATATCTGCAATGATACTTTGGTTGACAAGTACAAGAAAAATTTGGCTTTGGTATATATTGTGCAATGCTCTGTATTTCTGAAGCACCATGTTCCATATTCTCATTCAAGCCTTGAAATTGGGGGGATTTAGTGATCTTTGGTATTTTGGAGTCCCTCTGTTCCGGATTGACAGCAAAACCCTGGCACTGTGGAGTGGAACTTGAAGGCTGGTCTACTAACATTTCTTTGTTAGTAGGATGTGCCAATATGGTGTTTTATAAGAGGTAATCAGCAAACATCAGAAAATTTAGATTCAGCTGAGATTACATTGGTTGAAAAAAGCTGGATGTACCTTGAATCACTCTAGAATCACTTTCAATTTCCTCCAACTCTGGCTTGATCATGACATTCATACACCAAGCAGTGGTGGCAAGGCTAACAATCACACCTTGGATGCGCATTTTATGAATTAATTTGATGAATATTTGAGGGGAAATGTTGTGGAGGGTGAAAGATAGGTGGAGGAGGAAACAATCCAGTCCAGCCATCATTTTATACATCTCCAACCGCAGTCATTGTGCCTGTCTGAAACCTAGGTACAATCACTAATCTTCATCACACAATTTTTGAGGCAAGTCTCAAAGCCTGAAAACGTGAACTTTATTTTAGTACCTCCGAGTAGGTTGGTATGACACAAGTCTGCACGACCTCGCAGTGACTTGTGTTACACAAAGTGCCTATCATGTGTTGCGCCGCCAGTTAATGTACCTCGCGGAATCTACTCGGCCGTGCGATCAATCTCTACAGAACTCGCGGGGGTCGGGAAGGGGCCCCGAGAATTGCAGTTGGCCCATCCCCCGGATCCCCCTGACTCGACTTGGTCTTCGGGAAGACCGAGAGTGAGGAGTGACTACTCCAGGATCGCAACCCACGAAGCCCAAGTCAACGAACCAAGCAGGGAAACGCAAAGCGAACTTAAGGATTACCAAGGACGACGTGCTCTGATGACTTCTGGCGGTGAGTCTCAGTTTTCTTAATCAAGCAATTACTCCCCTGCTGGGAGTTTTTTGATGTTAAACCAATTGCTGACATGTTTTCTATTTATGTTTTCTGCGCCAATCCGGATTCCCAGCCACCCAAGTCAAAAAGTCAAAATGGGACGATATGGATGATGACTCGACGCCGACCCACCAGAAAACAGCCGCCTCTTCCAGACCTTCTAAACGGTCGCGCAAGGCAGCTCTATCGGGTGTCAACGTCTCCAGATCCGCATCACCGTACAAAAACACCCCATCAAAACATCAATCAACAACCACCAACACCACCACACCCTCGGAAAATCCACCACCCATTCAGTCTACAAGCTCCGATGCTTCACATCTAAATCCTTCGTATCTAAATGGTGGACAACAGCCCAAGAAAACCGGCATCTCAATCCTCGGTCGCGCCTCACTTTCAAAGAAAAGCGTGCCACCCAATCGGTCTAAGCAGATTCGTGAACTTCACCCTCCAATTCAAGGATGTCGTTCCGTTTATTGTTATGAGAGGTTTGCGCCATCTCACATCGCGATCGTTTATGTATGTGTTACTAATTGTAACCAATGGTTTGATTTTCTTAGACTCAATCACATTGAGGAAGGTTCCTATGGCGTCGTCTTCAGGGCACGTGATAAGGAAACCGGCGAGATCGTCGCCCTCAAGAAGATCAAGATGGATCAGGAAAAAAACGGATTCCCGATCACCAGTCTTCGCGAAATTCATACCTTGATGATGGCTCGACACGAAAATATTGTCCACGTTCGAGAGATCGTCGTTGGAGATACTTTGACACAGTGCGCATTCGATAGGATATTTCTCATTTTTGGTTGACTAGCAACTCACTTCCCTCGTTTCTCTTGGCCGTCTCCTTGACTCGATCTACTAGAATTTTTATCGTTATGGACTTCATTGAACACGATCTCAAGACTCTTCTCAGCACGATGCGGACCCCTTTCCTAGCCTCTGAAGTGAAGACGATCTTGATGCAGTTATTGTCTGCCACCGCATTATGTCATAACAACTGGATCATCCATCGAGACTTGAAGACCTCGAATCTTCTCATGAACAATCGTGGACAAATCAAGGTGGCTGACTTTGGACTTGCCCGGACATATGGGGATCCGCCAACGGGAGACATGACTCAACTAGTGGTCACCTTATGGTATCGAGCACCTGAGTTATTACTTGGGGCCGAATCATACACGACTGCCATCGATTTGTGGAGCATCGGATGCATCTTTGCCGAGCTGATCCTTCGCGAGCCACTCTTTCCCGGAGCAGGAGAGATCGATCAGATCGGAAAGATCTTCAAGACCTTAGGCCGTCCGACGGAAGAAATCTGGCCAGGACTCAAACTGTTGCCGAATGCGTCAAAGTTCGACTTGAATGCGATCCAACCCTATTCGACCCTCAGACAAAAGTTCCGATATGTCACCGAAGCAGGAATCGATCTGATGAACAAACTACTAGCCTATGACCCACTCCAACGGATCTCGGCTGATGAGGCCCTCAAACATCCATACTTTAAGCGTGTTACAATTTTTCTCTTTTTTTTTAGTTTTTGTCCGTGTGATTGCGCTTTGAACTTGCTTAGATTACTCATGCGATCTCTGTTACCGATCCTCTTGACTTCATTTTTAGCGAGACTCCACTCCCTAAACATCCCGATGCTTTCCAGTCCTTTCCCTCAGTTGCTGCGGGCGAAAAGTGTGTTTCGATTCTTCTGATTTTGTGGTACTCGTATCTTGGCTTGATTAACTTGCTAACCTTCCTTTACCTTGTGACTCTCAACGTGACCTCATGTAGGGCCAAATTTGATTCTCCCTCAGCTCCCCATCGCGATGAAGACCAAGCGCAAAACAATCGATATGACCTCATCTTGTGATCCATCGAGGATGCTCCACGGGGCCCCAACATATTTGTTACATAGGATCCTAAAAAACTTCCCACCCCTGTTTCCCATTCTTGCTTCGTCGAATTGTTCACCCCTCCCCACAAGTAATACCACCGTTATTTTTCTCAAACAGGAGATCTTGATAGGCCAAAACGTGCCACCAATCTATCCTCGAACTTGAGTTGACCATGAGAAAGGGCACATCGTCCTTGCGGGACCAGCCATCGATCATCAACATTGAAAAGCTTCCTCCACTCCAGTATCACGTCACGGAGTAGGTCAGATACATGAAACACTAGGGTTCTGTTTTATTTTTGAGAAACAGTTGGGGTCAAGCGATCAAAAAAACGCGAGACAAGAATACAATTGCTGATCATCAACCAAAGGGTGGGCAAAAAGGAAAGTCCCCAACGTGATTTGAACACGTGACCTGCCGCTATGCCGACTGCAGGCGGCCGCTCTAAACCACTGAGCTATGGAGACCGGGATTAATGGAGGGACAGGGTTTGACGGACACAATCCCACAAGTCACACCATGTCTAGATGTAAGGGGTTGATTTTTGTTTCAATTGTTTTTGACTGACTCTTCTGGATTTGTTTTCAGACAATGTCCCATCATCTTCCATGTTTACTTGGTTTAATGTGCAAGTTCATTAGGTTTCTAAATCCAAGACTCATAATCTCCTCTGCATTCTTGCTTGGACTACTATTTTTGTTATTCTATTGAATTCTCTAGAATTGAGCCATGCTATGTGTCCTGGAAGGTTGATGTATACAAGTAATAATCAATACCCCAACGGGGAGTTTGAAAATAGGCAGTGGATACATTGGGCTGGATGTATGACTTTGAGAAGTCTGCAGGGTTTTCGCAGGTCAGGTGGTCCTGGGGGGCTCCCATGAGCAACGGTGGGCCAGCAGAATTCTGTTGCTGAGATACTTGACTCCCAGTCACCGGCAAGCACGGCAATCGTTCGCGAGCGTAGATGGTAGATAGTGATACGCATTGGGGTTGCAGGAACATTGACAACGCTGGTGCTGCCGTCAGTGTCACGAATTGATTTGAGATGGAAGCGCCCCTTATGTGACTGTCTGCAACCGTTACCCGATCGCCAGGTATGCAGCGAGGTCGACTTTCGTCTCAGAAATACTTTGGCGACTGGATTGTGCACCCACAGGCACAACAGCTATCTCATGCACGTGGCAACAAAAACTTCTCTCTGGGCACAGTTTTTGATCATAATTGATTGGTGGGGCAAGCAATAAACAAGAAAAAATAATAATTGCTTTGGTTACATTGAATCGACAGCGAAGGACGCAATGAAAAGTGTTAAGATTGGAACGGAAAGGCGGGAAAAATGATACATGAAAGTGGGCAAAGTTCGACAAATTAATCCAAAGGTCTGGGACTAGAACTACTAAATCCTTCGCCGATTGGAGAGTCGTTATCGTAAGATGCCGACCTAGTGGAACCGCAAGCTCAAGCCTGAAAAGTGCGTTATCATCGAATCAGTCCGCCAATTCTTGAGGAAATTATTACATGGCTGGATGGAGTGAGTCTTACCGATGAGCTGGGTGTTTTACCAGCATCTGAAGCATCTTTCTTCCATAGTCCACCATATCCAGGGTAACCGGAGTAGCTGAACAGAGAGTTGTAGGGCAAATAGGAGGAAGCGCCGTACCAAGACCAAGGGTAGACGAGTGAGTTGAAGGCCGAATACATGCCGCCTCCGAAGCACGAGTAGGAGTAAACGCCCCAGCACTTCTCGTCGGAGTGGCCTTTGGTGGCGGTAGTGTCTGCTTGGGGTGCAATAGTCGGCCCGGCCAACGCCGACTGGAGGACGGCCAAGAAGCAGGCAAGGTAAAAGAGGCAGTGCATGATGGTTGGGTTTTTTTGGGGTTGTTGGGTTTTGAGGCTGTTGGGTGTGCTGTTTGTGGTTGTGTTGGTTGAGATGGTGTGATGGATGAGTGAGGATGGACTGTAGGCCGGTCCAAGCAGTCCTTAAATAGATTTTTCGATGGCCCTCGACTTGCTCTTTACGCTTCATCAGAATCCATGACTTGTCCACTTGCACGCCGAACTCCAGCTCTGCCGATAGTTGGAGTAGACAATCCCTCTCCCGGGTTTAGCCAATGGGAGTCAGTAACCAAGTCCGCATACTCTTCTACCTCTTCTCCTGCTTGGCGATCTTAATGAGGTGCGCGGTGCTATGTACAAAAATCAGAAGATTTCTACTCCCGTCTTTGGCTTTTTATGCTTCAAAGTTCCACATGGTAGCTTGGCCGGCGGGCGGCCCTCCCAAGTCCCATGAGATCAATTGTGTGCCGGCTCTGGTTTGCCAAGTGTGCGGCTGAGAAATGTGGTTCAAGCAGAAATTCGCACAAGTATCTATCCATGATGTATGTGAAATATAGTGCTCCAGCCTGAGTACATCCCTTAACAACCTTGGGAGTTGTAGAGCAAGCCGGCATCTCTCCCAGAGATAGCCGAACATGGGCAATGGATTATCTATGCCAGCCTTCGAGCTCAGACTCTCAGCAAGGCACGAGTTCATCGTGCAAGTGGTGAAGTGAATGAGTCAGAGATTATGGTGCAAGGGAGAAGAGTGAGTCGAGAAAAATCTATTTAAGGACTGCTAGGACCGGCCTACAATCTTCACTCATCAATCTCACCATCTCAACCAACACAACCACAAACACCACACCCAACAGCCTTAAAACCCAACAACCCCAAAAAACCCCAACCACCATGCACTGCCTCTTTTACCTCGCTTGCTTCTTGGCCGTCCTCCAGTCGGCGTTTGCCGTCCCAACGATTACCCCGCGAGCAGACACTACCGCCACCAAAGGCCACTCCGACGAGAAGTGCTGGGGCGTTTACTCCTACTCGTGCTTTGGAGGCGGCATGTATTCGGCCTTCAACTCACTCAACTACCCTTGGTCTTGGTACGGCGCTTCCTCCTATTTGCCCTACAACTCTCTGTTCAGCTACTCCGGTTACCCTGGATATGGTGGATTATGGAAGAAAGACGCTTCAGATGCTGGTAAAACACCCAGCACATCGGTAAGACTCATTCCATCCAGCCATGTAATAATTTCCTCAAGAATTGGCTGACTGATTCGATGATAACGCACTTTTTAGGCTTGAGCTTGCGGTTCCACTCCGCCGGCATTATACGATAACGATTCTCCGAACAGCAAGGGATTTACATAGAATTTCTAGCATCACCACGCTACCTTATGTCTAACTCGGAGATATTTTCCCATGTTCATGTATCATTTTTCCTGCTTTCCGCTTCATTGCTTCATTCTTAATACTTGATTGCTCTATGTATCCTTTCTGCTTTAATCACTATTTTTCCTTTTTGTGTGGCTCACTTTTTTGCTTCAATGGAAACCAGTAGCAAACATTACTTTGATTATCGTTGGTCCCATCATTCTAGCATTGTGATTGAAGTCTCCTAGTGCAGTCAAATCTCAAGAACATTGTGACAGTGTACATTTATAAAGATATTTGTGTGTGCAATTCCCGTCTTCATAAGTAACTCTGTGAGAAAATTTTCAAGATTGAGGTGTCACCTGATCTTTTTCTAAGTAACTCTGTGAGAAAATTTTCAAGATTGAGGTGTCACTTGATCTTTTTCTACTCGTCTATCAGTGTGTGACGGAACATCTGTTTTTGCATCCTACCAGCGCAAATACTTGAAAAACTTGCTTCAATGCCTGATTATGTTGGATACTGATACACACTTGATGGTGTGACACAGCTTATTTGAATGTGAACTTGCAATGAAGAACCTGTTGCATGTTGTTTCCAACTTACCGTCGTCATTCTTCCTCACAGTCCAGCATGTTCATCTGGCCTCCTCTCAGTCCTCTCCTTCATATTCCAAGTAGGAGATTGTTGACTCAGGAGCTCCTTGTAAGCTGATCCATTCTTTGAGATTCTCACCTCATGAATTCTGGCTAGATCATTGGCAGGCAGCTCTCTTTGGTCGCAAAACCAACCAGAGTGTCAATGATTTGCCTACCCGTTTGTTCAATTCTTTTATATTGTGTCTTTGATTTCAGTGCTGCCTTTTCAATCATTCTGTGCCTCTTGTTGAAATGTTCATTTACACATCTTCTTAAACACACACACTCATTGTAATTTAAAATATCAGATCAAACATAGAAACACAAAAGCACACCTTAGATACTTCTTTTTTTGCTTTTTGAGTACATGATGAATGTATACTCACAATAATTGTTTGGTAATTGTGAAATTAAAAGAAGAGTTGGGAAGGGAGGAGGATCACAAATTGGCTCCAGGTCTATCTTAATTTTGAATGTTTTCTTCTTTACAACTATTGTTAGCATTATTCAATCAAGTAACAATTCATTCATCTGTAACAATTTCATGTTTTTCTTTCTTGTCTCCATTTTTGTTGTTCAATCACCAGGAAAAACAATAGTGGGTGTTTATGTGTATCCTAGTCCTATCCTGGATTTAGTAGTGACTATTTATATACTCTATCCCAGTCATATGCATGATTGTATCAGTACCTGTATCACTCAGATATCGTTCTAAGGATTAAAAACAGAAAATGGAATTTGCATGCCATATTCTTTTCATCCTGGGAGGAATTATATTTTTTGCTTGATGCATCATACCTTTGAACCAACATGATTATTGAAATAGGTCAAAAACATGTCAAAGGTGTACCATAGCATTACAAACAATACCTATTTTTCCCCATGGAAAATGTAAATTTGGGTGGTGGAAAATAGGTCAATGGATGACTTCCCGTTGCAATCTGCAACCCTCCCAGAAGTCAGTTTACACCCATTAGGTATATTTTTCTCATCAAAAAAATGGTTTTTCAAAAGCCTTCCAGAAAGAGCTCTCATGTGAGCTGGTTGAGATCTTCATCATCTTGTTAATTTAGGACTGAGGGAGGTCTAAAAAGCATTCTAAATTGCAGAAGTCCTCCAATTTCTTGGCACTTTTTTACAAAATGCCTCAGGAGTAAAACTTGGCTAAAATGAACTATTTCTGACAAAAAATAAAGATGCCTCACATGAGCCAAAAATTAATTTTGATATGTTTGAGGCATTTTTATCTTTGCACTAAAATAGCCTGCTGATGCATTTTGTTGAAAAAGTGCCAGGGAATTGACCAATTTTCCCCCACTCAAATTGCTATTTATCCTTGGGGCAAAATGGGTAATTCTTGTAGTGTAAGAAAACCCCTTGATGTTGAAATCAGCTAACCAGGCCAAGAATTCATCATCATGTAAAAAGATTCTGGTTGTTTTGGTGTTTGTGAATTAATTCTTTTACAAGAAATTACTTTTCACAATTAAGCCATCAAGTATGGTGATTAACATGGATGATTATCTGGGTCCCCTTGGCAAACAAAGAACCCTTGGTTCTCTAATTTCTGGATTTCCTCCTTTTTCTTTCCCACCAAAAATGCTGTAAAATCTACCCATAGAGATAGCCCCGCTGCGTCTGGATATCCACTCACTTTTTCAGTGGAATTGGATGTCCGGATCCGGATCCGCATCTGCTGGCGGATATCCATTGGCCACAGAGGGTATCCATGGATACCCGCCCTTTAAATGGTTGGCAAGGTACATGTACCTTGCTGTCTGGAAGGATAGCCTTCCAGTTGACAAGGTACATGTGCCTACTACCTCACCGGCTGTAAATCAATCTCTTGGCCTTGGGTATCCCTGGAGATATCCACATATCCAACAGGATTTCAAGGAAATGCAGGTATCTGCACCCAAATCCATGTCCCCTGGTGGGTATCTGTTGGTGCTGGTGGTTATCTGCCGGGGATAGCGGGTATCTGCAACAGATAACCCAAGGCCATCTTTATTTTTACCTTCCCCAGCTCAACAGGCTTGGCTTGAACTTAGGCACTTATAAAATGTTCACATTCTATCACAAAGCTGCAGTCTTTGCTCAACTGGTTCTCTTCTTCATTTTTTTTTCCATTTTGTTCAAAATACCTGTACTGATGCCAAGCATTGATAGCTGATACTTTAATTTTTGATAAATTTCTGATAAGGGAGAACACAGTTTCTGGTGACATAGAAAATTTCCTTAAAATTTTGATAGATCTGAGATCAATCTCAAGAAAGATCCGAATTATACAAGGGCAGAAGAGCTCAACTTTTAACAATAGGTTAATTCCAATTTCTGATTATATCCTAACCTGTAAAGAGAAATATCATTAGTACCAACCACAATTGTTTTCAGTCAAAGATTAAGTAATTTGGGAAGATAAAGGATGATCTTGATCATTTAGATTCTTTTTCCTGGGTTTAAGTCCTAGTCTACCATAACTTTCTTGAGATTTAACATTTGCATTTCCTCTAAAAACTTGTCATTACTATCTGATCTTTCCCCACTACAGAAATGTGATGACTGTTCTTGTCATAGCCAGTCTGGTGGGGTGACTTGTTGGCAGTATCTTCATGTGAATCCAAATGATCTCTGTGCCCTGACTCAACGCTGCCACAGATACGGTATCTGCCCGTATCTGCCATGTATCACTATGTATCTGAGCCCCAATAAAAAAAAACTATCTGACCACTCTGCTTTTATTTGCAAGGAGATTCAACAAATTTGTTTTTTGGCCATGCAGCTTTGCAGAATTCTCCATGATACACACAGTGTATCGTATCTGTGGCAGCGTTTCCTGACTGTGCCAGTCATGAATTTGAGACAACAAAATATTGTTCCTATAAATTGACACAGTTTCAGTCTTGTCATTTGAAGGGGAGGTTCAAGTAGTGATTTCAATATTGGAGTGTGGGTCCACATGATGGTTTCATGTATCTTCATGAGATGGTGCATTCCCTAGGGGTGGGAGAAGTGTGTCTGGAATTTATCTGTTGGTAACACACAAAATAGCAATCAGTGTGGTTTCACTGTAATAATTCACTTTTGTTTTGGTGAGCAACTAGCTAGCAGTTTCAGTATGCATGATACTGAGTACAGCTTCACTTCTATCCAATATAATATTATCAAGAAACACTTGAACTGGGGTGCCACAGATAATAGTAGAGATGGTCGAAGGGTATCCGTCGCAGATACCCGTTATCTGCTGGCGGATACCCGCCAACGGGTGCAGATTCGGGTGCGGATGGCCCCTTTTCCGCAAAAAGTTGGCGGGTATCCGGGTATCCCAAAGGATATCTGCGGCCAGAAGGGGAGATGGCTGGCTGGAAGGAGACCCTTCCAGCCGGCAAGGTACAAGTACCTCGTCGACTGGAAGGACACCCTTCCGGTCGACGAGGTACTTGTACCTTGTCGAATGGAAGGACACCCTTCCGGTCAACGAGGTACTTGTACCTCGTTGACTGGAAGGACACCCTTCCGGTCGACGAGGTACTTGTACCTCGCTGGCTGGAAGGAAGCCCTTCCGGTTGACGAGGTACAAGTACCTCGCCAGCTGGAAGGAGACCCTTCCAGCCATCAAGGTACAAGTACCTTGCCAGCTGGAAGGAGACCCTTCCAGCCGGTGTGGTAGTTATTCCTGTGTTTCTACGCTAAAAATATAAAAATTTATTCTCATCTTTTTCTACATCAGATATAAGGTAAAATAAACATCAAAAATGGATTCCTGAGGTAAAATAACCCCTAGTCACCTACTACAACTACCCCCTTATCTCTATTAGTTCAGAAGTTACACCTATTTCAACCTATCACAGGATATCTCTTGGATTCTTTACTCTGACTAAAGCTCATTTTGAATACTGGATGCATATTGGATATTGAGTTCCTTTTTTCATATTGAATTCCTTTACTAGCTCATATTACATATTGAATTCCTTTGTTGGTGCACATACATTCCTTTGTAGCAGGACCTTGTAGGCCAGCCAAAATCCCTCAAGGCTGTGCTATAACTAGCTAAATTCCCTCACATTCATGTACTAGACTAGCTAAATTCCCTCATTGGATATTCAGGCCAGCTAAATTCCCTCACCTGCATGTATCCTGGAGCTAAATTCCCTCACTTTTGTCTATATAAGGAGGCCTCTGCCTGCCAGTTGTATTCCCTCCTCATCAGATGCTCTGTAGTCAGTCCCCCCCATAACACTACATCACTGGTCACTCCTCATTATTATTAGCTACCTAATATTGAGGTTTTACAATTATAACCCCCCTTATATATATTATAACAGTTCTTTATAGTGTAGAAATATCAACATTTCATAACCACTAAGCTATCTCACCTTTGCCTGAAATCCACTGATTTTTGGCTTCATACACCCCAACCACAAGGACCTGGGTTCAATTCCCATTCAAGACATCCACCTTAACTCCACTTTAACTCCACCTTAAACTTCAACTGATCTCCACCTGTGCCTGGTCCTCCGTTCCATTCCTGGTCGAAGCATAAACTTAAAGTACCATCAACTCAAGGTTGCGCGTTCAAGCCTCACTCTCAACAATATTACCATCACCCCTTCTACCAACAATAACCTCATCAACATCAACATCATCACCAACAATCAACATCATCTTAACCGTTATACGACTCATTCGACAGCTTCATCTCGAACTATCCTCTATCACGATATATAAACTGCCAAGCTGAGCTTGGTGGTCTTGTTGTTCTGATAGCATAGAAGGGCAGAGCCTGCAACTCCATCATCCCCTTCTCCATTCAGCAAAAGGGTTTCACAACCACTTTTGAGTCTTACACCGGCCCTTTAGAGGGTGGGTATCCGAGGATACCCGCTGCGGCCAACGGATACCCGCCAGCGGGTGCGGATGCGGATGCGGATGCTCAGATGGCCAGAAAAAGCAGCCGGATATCCGCATCCACGCGGATATCCGGATGCCAATCGAACTGAAAGGGAAAATAATCTGTTAGACTGGTGTAATCAATTACTTCTATGAAACAGTATTATATAGAAACTCAATAGAAGTAATAGAATTGAAAACAACATAAACCAACATTAGAAATGTGTAATATAAAAATAATAATAAAGAAAACATATCAACCAATAAATACCTGATAGATTAGATCTGAATGTAACAAAATATTGACATGATTCACAATGACGTTAACTCTAAACACACACAGTATTGTTTAGCAAAACTAGACTAGAGAAATTGAATAAAAAGAAATGGTCAATATTCTGATTCCATGCCAGTAGAAACTCTAAAACTGAATACCTGCCCAGAAGATGATGCTAGCTCCTCCTGAGTGCTTGAAGTAAATGAAAATTGAAATTGGTTTTTGATTTGATTGATCAGCAAATAAGACTTATTGACCTTGGGTTGATTTTTGATTCAATAATAGATCAACGAGTGGTTGAAGGAAGGTGAAAGAAGGGGAAGTTTGATGATTGACTTGGGATGAAAGAGACCCGCAAATGACGTGAGTTCAAACTGAACTTAAACTAAATTAAACTGTTTGATTACTTAATGTCTGAGTTTAAACTCAACACTCACTCCTCCTAAACACACACATTAACTAAATGTAATTGTTTGTACAGTGGGTAGACAGTGAAAAGTGGCTGCTTATATTGGATTCCAGAGCTCCAATATACAGACTTGAAGTCATGAGACTTGGTCAGGTGGTGCATAATAGGTCCCAGAAAATGAATATGAGAAAATAAAAACAAAAAACAAAGTTGCAAAATTTATGAAAAATAAAAAAATAAGATTCATTTTTCTCAAAAGCTTTAAAATTCATTTTTGGGGAGTGAGAGTGCTGAGAGAAAGGAAGATTGGGGTATGAGAAGAATGATTATGAATGAAAATTTTGGAAAAATGGCTTTCCAGATGGCTTCAAACAGCTGTTGAGTGGGGCATTCACCAGCCCACATTGCAGTAAAACACTAGAATTTACTGTTTGAGCTCCAATCTGGACAACCAACCTGGCCAAACCTTTTTTGGTTCCAATTTTTTCATTTATAATCATTCTTCCCATGTTCCATTCTTTCTTTCTGTTAGCACTTTCAGTCCCCCAAAATGAATATCAAAGCTTTTGAAAAAAATCAATTTTATTTTTTATTTTTCACAAATTTTGAAACTTTATTTTTTATTTTTATTTTTTCATATTCATTATCTGGGACCTATTATGCACCACCTTACCAATTCTCATGACTTTGAGTCTGTGTTTTGGGGTTTTGGAATCCAATATAAGCAGCCACTTTTCACTGTCTACCCACTGTACAGTGCCCTCCCAGTTGTTTATGGCACATGTAGTTCTTAATTTTAAAAAAAATTATCAATGATAAATTTCCAATTTTTTGTGAAGTGGTGGAATGGGGGATGATAAGAAGGAATATGAAACAAAAAAACACAAAGCAAAATCCATTACATTTCAAAAAAATAAAAGCATCATTCAAATTTTTTATTTTCTTTAATAATTTTTTTAAAAATACAAAATCAAGTGGGGAGGGTAGCTGAGATGTGGTCAATAATGATTATGAAATAAAAAAAGTACAAAAATAAAAAATAAAAACAAAGAAAATAGTATTTGATTGGCCCACCAGCGACCCCCACAACCAGGTGCATCCAGTGGGGTTGTTGCTGCTGGTTGACCTGAAGATGGGGTGCCATTGATGTCCGGGACACGGATGGTGTTTTGGGATGATCAGATAGGTGGTCTGGCCGAGTGGGTGTGGATGGGCCGTCTGGCCGAGTGGATGTCGGAGGAGACTCAAGAGCCAGCAACCTTCAACTGTTTTGTGGGCCTTGAGCATTTTGATTGTTGACTTGGAAATCAGCTCATCAATGTGCCAGTCTTGAGGTTGTGTTGTCCTTGTATATGTTGGTTCCTGATCACGGTGAATGCAAAAAAAAGCAAAAAAACTCAGAAAAAGAAAAAAGAAAAACAAGACAATAGAAACACAAACCTGAGTGTAACAATGCTGTTCAAGGTATCAACCTTGACCTATATTGATGTTCTTCTGAGTATTGTCTTGATTTGAAGGTTGATTGTTGATGAATTGGTGAGGGAAAGAGGTTGACCCTGCACCTGCACACTGCAGTTTAGTGCGTGGGTGCAAGTCAACTTGTAACAGTTCACCCCCAGACATAAAAATCTGGTAGGATACTGTACACTTCAGCTAATTTCATCTTTTCTTAATTGTTTGGTGAGAATATCAGCAATCTTCTCAGTTGTCGAAACTTGAATGATTTTCATAACTTTGTTGATGAGGAGTGATGAGGAAGGAGGATTGTGGAGTGATGATTAAGGTTCAAAGGGTATGAGCAAAATATGCAGAGGTGGTCAAAGGATAACGTGCAAAATATGCAAGGTTTCTGAGGAATGAGTGCAAAGTATGCAAGGAGTCAGTAAGGGGCAAAATATGCAAAAGAGGGAGAAAGAAAATATGACTAAATTATGTCCGGCAAAGTATGCATTGATAGAGGGATGGAAGATTGCATGTATGGGTCTAATCTATATGGGCATCTTTCCCTCTATATGTGTGTACAAGTGTAAGAAAGACTACTTACATACTCTAAGATACAAAAGAGCACAGATTGTGGCAATTCTGGTTATTTGAAAGAAATGTACATATGTAGAAATAAGAGACAAGAAATGTGAACAGCAAACAAGGATGAGTAGAGGGGGACAAACCCAAAGAGGGGAAGGGCTGTGAAAGAGTGTGCTACTGTTATCTGTTAGAATACGAGTTTGCACAACTGCGTATACAGGATACGCAGTCATGCAAAAACTCAAGCGCAATTTTCACTCTCCTCAGAACACTAGACCTAACCTAATCCATCCCTCGATTCACCCATAAAACCACCGCCCGCAACCGCAAACGCTAGTTTCCCTTTCTTCACACGCTCAAAACACATTGCAAGTGAAGAAAGAGAAACTAGTAAGTCACAACCCATATCGTCAGAAACCTCATCAAAACTTCGAAATCAGGACTAACACTATTTTTTCTCTTTAACTATTTCTTCCTTGTTTGTTTCACTACTTTCAGATTATCTCTCGCGTGTCCTTCCAACATAAAAATTTATTCCTAAACTAAATCACTCGCTACGCTCGTGCAGGTATGCACTCATCTCTTATTTTCTCTCATTGATCAAACTATTTCTCTTCTACTTTGATTCACCGATCATTTCTTTTCTAACAATCATGTTATCTTTTCTTCTGTCATCTCTTTCTCTAATAGGTGTGTGTGATCTAAGGTGTCTTCGTTGTTATTGGCAAACAACTCAGACTCATAATTATTATCATCATCAGGTGTGACTTTGTTTTTCATTCTTTATTTTTCTCTATCATATTAAAAAGTAATACACGCTCAAAACACATTGCAAGTGAAGAAAGAGAAACTAATTATCTCTCGCGTGTCCTTCCAACATAAAAATTTATTCCTAAACTAAATCACTCGCTACGCTCGTGCAGGTGTGTGTGATCTAAGGTGTCTTCGTTGTTATTGGCAAACAACTCAGGCTCATAATTATTATCATCATCAGGTGTGTGTGATCTAAGGTGTCTTCGTTGTTATTGGCAAACAACTCAGACTCATAATTATTATCATCATCAGGTTTCGTGCGCAAGTTGTGCCATCATTACATTATCCCAAAGGGTAAATGGGAAATAATGAATGTAAAGAAAGTATCTGAGAAAATATCCGATACATGTAATGAGAAACAACTACTGTAAAGAATGTGTCTGATGCAGTCAGAACAATTAATTGTAAATGAGAGTACTTGAGAAAAATATGATGTATGAAGCAAACTGTATATGTAGCTACTGTGTAATGTAAATGTAAAGAAGAGTATCTGTTAGAGATGGTTGACGGGTATCTGTTGCGGATACCCGCCAGTGGGTGCGGATGGCCCCTTTTCCGCAAAATCTGGAGGGTATCCGGGTATCCCAAAGGATATCCGAGGCCGGAAGGGCAGATGGCCGGTGTGGAAAGTAGGGTGCGCCCTAGGAGATTTCTTGCACTTCTCCGCTCCGCAACACGTCCTACTCCGGTTTGTTGTCCGGGGTAACTTGCTTGATGGTCTTGTAGGTAGGTAAAAATAACTATTCTTTTATTGGTTTTGGTAGGTAACACTCTAACTCTATTCTATCTCTAACAATTCTTTAGGCTAATACCCGATTCACTCCTAAGTCACTCTCTTTTCTGATATGTTCTGAGTCATCCATGTTTTCCTCCCCCTTTCTCCTCTGCTCCGAACTCCACTCTTCCCAATTATCCCACACTCAAGTTTCCTCCCGCTTCCCACGATGTCCTCTGCTGTCACTCCCTCGGACTCCGCTTGTCACCCCTCCGATGCCTGTCGGTCCAGGTACTCCTCTAGAGATGGGCGCTCCGCATCCGGATATCCGTTCGGATGCGGATATCCGCTCACATTTTTAGCGGAATTGCGCATCCGCATCCGCTGGCGGATACCCGCTGGCGCTGGCGGGTATCCGCGCGGATATCCGCGGATATCCGCCCCCTTTTAAGGGTAGATAGTGTTTTTTTTTTTCAAAAAAAAAAGAAAGAAAAAAAAACTGGTTTTTGAACCAGCTTGTCGGGAGGAATCCCTCCCGGCAAGCTGGATTGTGTACCCTCTCGTCGGGAGGGATTCCTCCCGATGAGCTGGTATGTATACCAGCTCGCCGGGAGGGATTCCTCCCGGCGGTATGGCCTCTCTTGGCACCGGGTATCCCTTGGGATACCCGGATATCCGCCAGGTCTGGGCGGAAAAATGGCCATCCGCAGCCGAATCCGCACCCGCTGGCGGGTATCCGCTGGCCCTAGCGGGTATCCGCCAGGGGATAGCGGATATCCGCGGCGGATTATCCCCGCCCATCTCTATACTCCTCTGGTCGCTCATGGACAGGTCTCTCACCGCCGCTTCCGCCTCTGGTCCGCTCCGAACCCCGCTTCCGCCCCTTGGTGCCCCCGCTCCTTGTAGCCCCTCCACAGTATACGCTGAACCCCCGTTCCGCAGTCAGCCTTGAACCCCGGTGTCCGCCAGTGCCCGGATTCCCCGCAGAGATCTTTTCGGAATCTTGCGCATTCGGTCTACTTTTCCCCGCTCTCCCGCGCCTCGGAAAGCTAGACTTTCCACTAATGCACCGCTGCTTTCCTCAGCTTGCGTGTGTTGCGTCAGCTCCGCATGCTTTCCGCATCAGCCGCGAGCATTCCGCATGCCCCCAAACAAACCAGCCAAAGCTTTGGTCAAGGCGCTCTCGCCACCACACCGGCTGGAAGGGTGTCCTTCCAGCTGGCGAGGTACACCACGGGTCGATATTTTTTATTTGACCCCGTGGGCTTGACTGCGCAGTGGCAGACAGGTTGGCACCAACCTGTCTGCTTTGAATCCTACAGCGCGGGCGGAGGATGGTGGAGGAGTGGTCAACCGCACGCAGGCCCAACCCTTCCGATCCAGCCGCCGGGCCAACTCCGCCGACATGGTTGGCCAGGGCACACCCAGCCGACTCAGCCTGGCTCTCACCGGCCAGCCAACGGCGGAGGCTGGGTGGGCTCTCATCATGCCTCACCGATGATGACAAATGATCATATTGTCTGTTCTCCCCCCACCTTTCTAACTGCGGCAGCTACCATCAAGATTTGGTCGGGAAGAAAAAAAAACTCACCGATGGAGCCAACTAAGCGATCGAGCACTCCCGACGCCGGGCAACAACTCACTGCCGCACCCACGCAATCAAGCACTCCCGATGCCGGGCAACAACTCATTGTCACACCAAAGCAATCAAGCACTCCCGACGCTGGGCAACAACTCACTGCCGCACCCAAGCAATCGAGCACTCCTGAGTCTGACAACGGGCATTGTGTTGTTTCTACATCAGCGGAGCAGCTTCTCCTGGTCGCAGCTGAGCAGCCTGCCGAGCGTCGTGCAGCTAGAAAGTCATCGGTATGTTTCCGATTCTCTGCTTTTTTTCTGGCATCATCTGAGCTAATGTTGTTTCTTCCTATCAAGACTAATAAGGCTTTCCCCCCTCAACAATTGCAATGAAGCTGCCGTATCTTCAACCAGGAGAACGGTCTTGGAAGCATGAGTGTCCCAGCCGACTATCTCAGTCTCAAAGACCTCAAGAATGTTGCGCGCGCTGGAGCAGCCAGCGGATCTAAATAGATACATTCTCTACCAAGTCTCCTCAACCAAACAAAAGCAATCCGGATCGTCTTTAATATAATAGTTGATTTCGATGGATGTAAATATTTTCTAGCTACATAGACATGTTCATTTTAAACTAGATCGGGATCAACAATCGAAGTCGATGCCACTATTTTTTTCCTCTTTCTAGCTTGCGCATTTTCTTTTTTCTCAGCGACCATCCTTATATTGCGAATGAAAAAATTGAAAAGATTTGGCTAAATAAAGCATTTATTTCAGTAAGAGAAAAGTGAAGAAAGAGTAAATAAAAATAGAGAAATAGTAAGAATAAAAATGTTACCTAAATAAAGCAGGAAACAAGTTTAAGGATGATGAGAGATGAAGACGAAGAATGAAAAACTGTCGATGGCTAGGTTAGAAGACTTTGAGAAAGATAAAAGATAATTAGAATCATACTCGTGAGCACAAGAGAATAAAAGAGAAAGAATTAAGAACCTCTGAAAGTCAACCTAAGTGAAGAAATCCTCGGCGAAAATAAAGAACCGAAAGACTTGAGAATAAGAATCAGAAGATTAAAGATTAAGATGTTAAGTGTTGTTAGGTTGAAGTAGATAAGAGTGAGATCGAAGAAGTAGGAGTTGTATAATTGATGTATGGTCACGGTCAACAAAAAATGATACGATCAAAATTCATCGAAAGTAGAAAAGGAAAACAACGGTCAACAGAAAAAGACAAGAACCCGTGCCACAGCTGTGTAAGATCACAATCTTGCTCCTATGACATCACAAGATGTATGCGCTATTCCTATGACATCACGAGATGCAGTAGCAGCGCCGTAAGCCAAATTCCAACACACCCCCATGCACCAAACCGCTAAGGTGGGGGCATACCTGCACGAAGAACCTTGAGCACTTTGAATATTGAACTTCGGCCAATTGACTTCGTCAGAAAGTCGGCCAACATTAAGTGAGTTCGTTTGAAAGTTAAAACAATATTCTTCGCGATTATTTCGGCTCGAATGAAGTGGTAGCGAAGATTCATATGTTTTGTCTTGAACGCTGAGTGATTTGACTCATTGTTAGCAAGCAAAATAGCTCCTTGATTGTCTTCAAAGATTTCAAACGGAAGAGATATCGAAAGTTTAAGCGCCGAGTCGATTACCATCTTGAGCCAGAGCAATTCTTTGGAAACTTCAGTTATAGCAATATACTCAGCTTCCGTTGATGAAAGTGAAGTTGTTGACTGTTTCTTTGAACGCCAAGAAATCAAATTGTCGTTCCACAAAATCAAATAGCCTGTGGTTGACTTAGAAGTGATATGACAGCTAGCCCAACTTGCGTCGACAAAAGAAACAAAATTGACTTGATCGACTGGAGTCTTGCGCAACGTAATGCCGAAATCCTTTGTTCCCTTCAGGTATCGAAGAGTATGGATTGCCGCATTCCAATGCAAAATGCCTGGTTCTTTAAGGAATTGGGATAAACAACCAACAGTAAAAGTAATATCTGGTCTAGTTGTCACGCTTAAGTAATTAAGTGCACCAACCAGACTACGATAGTTGACTTGTAGTTTATTTAATTCAGCAATTTCAGCATTTGAAGCTTTAACAAGATGACTATTAGGCTTCATCGGAGTTGCGAGGGGAACTAGATCGAAACAGTTAAATTTCTTGAGTGTGCTTTCAATATAGTGCGTTTGAGTAAGATGAACACTGGAGTCTAATTGAGTGACTTTCATGCCAAGTAAATGTTTCGCACTACCGAGATCTTTGATTTTGAACCGTTTTGCAATCAATTGTTTGAAGACATCAGGTTCTGGACTAAAGATTGCAATGTCATCGACGTGAACGTATAACCAGGTGTTAGCCGACCAGAAAACACAGGGTTCTGCATAGCTTCGATTAAAACCGACAGAGAGCAGCCAAGACGAAAGTGTAAGGTGCCATTCTTTGGGTGCCTGTTTCAAGCCGTAAAGTGCCTTCTTTAGTAATAAAACTTTGTTGGAAGGGACATCGATACCAGGAGGAGGATTTAGCGTTATTCGTTCTCGAATTGGTGCATTCAGAAAAGCACACTTTACATCAATTTGATGGAACTCGTAATTCCGTTGTAGAGCAAATGTAATGAGAAGACGAAGTGAGACCAGTTTACCGGTCGGAGCGAATGTCAAGTTATAGTCTTTACCGAAAACTTCTTTGAATCCTTGAACACACAACCGTGCCTTGTATTCTTGAGGTTGATTTGACGATTCAGGTTTTATTTTGAACACCCATGTACAATTAATCGGTTTATCAATAGAAGTTCTTTCAATGACGTCCCAGACTTTATAGTCGCTCATGTTATTCCTTTCTTTCACTAAAGCGGCATTCCAATCATCTTTGTCGGAAAGCGCCATCACTTGATTGTAAGTCAGAGTGTCATCTTCAGAGAGCGTTGTGTTAAATGACTCCACAGGTACACCTCGACGAGAATAGGATAGAATATTCTCAGGTGAAATGTCTCCGATTATTTCATTCGATGGCGACAAAGATTGTTCTAATGCTTGTTCTTGATTAGGAAAGGGATGAAACTGATCAACATCATCGTCGTCTTCCGTTGGAATGATTTCAAATGGATTGAAATAAAAGCTTGATTCATCCAAGGATTCGTTGGAAAGCGATGGAAAGATAGTTTCGTCAAAGGTGACATTTCGAGTGGTACAGAGAGTCTTTGATTCTATCCTTATAAAGCGGTATGTTGAAAAATCATCGCCATAACCGAGAAAGATCGCTTTTTCTGAACGAGGTAGTAATTTATTTGTCCTCACCTCCTCAGGAATAAGAACGTAGGCCAAGCAACCAAAACATCGAAGCTTTGAAAGATCAAAATCTCGTCCAAAGAAAGTTTTGTAGGGGATTTCAAAATTTCTTGTGCTTGATGGGAGAAGATTACACAAATCCGTCGCTGTAACAACAGCTTCTGCCCAATATCGTGGAGAGAGATTCGCTTGAGCGAAAAGACACCTAGCTTTATCAAGAATAGCCCGATTCGATCTCTCAGCTATACCGTTGTTCTCTGGAGTGTAAGGTGGAGAGAATTGATGGGAAATGCCTCGATTACGACAGAAGTCTTCGAAAAACAAGTTTTTAAATTCCCCTCCATTATCAGAGATAATACGCTTAACCGTGCGGCCAGTTTGATTCTCAGCCCAGATAACAAACTCGTTGAACTTATTGAGGGTCTCTGACTTGTGTTTCAAAAGCTTAATTGTCTTGAAGCCCGAAAATTGATCAACTATTGTTAAGAAATATTGAGCCCCTCCAACCGAACGAGTGTGGAATGGACCGACTAGATCGAGATGGATGGCTTCAAGCAGTTGAGAAGTAGGGGCAAATTTTCCTTTAAAGGGCAATTTGACCGCTTTGCACATCTTACAAGTAGTACAATTGACGGCTACTGCGGTATCGATTAGTTTCTTGAGATAAGGATGACTAGGATGACCCAGTCTGGCATGCCAGTCAATTGGAGAATTGGGTGACGCCGTAGAATGATACAAAGAGAATTCTTCTTTCATTGCAAAATCATTGGTAATTTCTAATAAGTTATTACGAATGTTACCCGACAGGCTAAAGTTATTGTCGAAGTTAATTTTGAAGCTATCATAGGATTTTGATAGCGAAATGCTTTCGTCAAAGAGGCGATTGAGAGAAATAAGTGGCCTGTGAAGATCAGGTGCGTAGAGAACGTTGACGAGTTTAATGATCGATCCAGAATCGTCAGAGATACAAACTTCCCCCGTCGCAATCGCAGAAACTTTTTGATTGCTGCCGGTGTGAATGTTTATGTTGACATCTTTCGTTTTTGAGAAAATTGAAAGATCGTTCACCATATGGTGAGAGGCACCGGAGTCGAGAATAGGAGCTTTCTTCTCTATTACAGTATTAAGATAGGCTGAAACTTCGACAACTTCTTTTACATCCTCAATTTTTTCAGTGCTATTGGCTGAAGTCGCATGAGCTTCAGGATCTTTAGGACGAAGAGCTTCGCGTTCTTCGACAGGTAAATTAAAGCATCGCCAAATCGGGTGAAAGGCCAAGGGATTATGTTTACCCGGAGAACACGGGTGAGCTGGCGGTTGTTTCGCCTTATCTGATTTTTTAGATTTGGGTTCGGCTTCAGACTTGTAGGCAGAAGGACCGATGACTTGATTTTTAGAACCAGATTCTACCTTCGAAACGCCTGATACTCGAGTATCTTTCATATAAACAAGCTCTCTTAATTTTTTAAGAGTACGACTAGGATAGAAAATGATGGCCTCGTTCATAATTATATTGTCGACAACGTTCCAGTAATCTTTGGATAATTTCGCTAGGATAGAAATCGAGATTATGTCGTCGGGAATCCCAAGTTGAACGAGCGCGCATTCCCTAATCATTTTTTGACAGTCGGCAAGATAATTGTTAAGGTTGCCGTTAAACTCGTAGCGCATCCATTTTAACCAGATTCGGGCTTTATTGTTGACCGACGAAGAAGCGTATCGCTCCACGATAGAAGCCCAAAGAAGAGCAGGGTTTTCTTCATTATCGGGAGTGACAGTAGCATCGAGAGCTTCTTCGCTGAGATGGCTAATGATGGCATTGAGAGTTTCATTCCTCTTCTTTTTAGCCGGGGTTACCTCGCCAGTGCAAATTTCCCAAAGATCTTTGCTGCGAAGGTAGGCTTTCATCCTTACTGACCACGACGGATAATTGAGGTCGTCAAGTTTAGGAATCGACGATTTGGTCGATTTTTCCTCAATATCCAACATTTTAGTGATCGTTTCCTGCTTGAGCGCCGTACTGATAATGTGAAAAGATTTGGCTAAATAAAGCATTTATTTCAGTAAGAGAAAAGTGAAGAAAGAGTAAATAAAAATAGAGAAATAGTAAGAATAAAAATGTTACCTAAATAAAGCAGGAAACAAGTTTAAGGATGATGAGAGATGAAGACGAAGAATGAAAAACTGTCGATGGCTAGGTTAGAAGACTTTGAGAAAGATAAAAGATAATTAGAATCATACTCGTGAGCACAAGAGAATAAAAGAGAAAGAATTAAGAACCTCTGAAAGTCAACCTAAGTGAAGAAATCCTCGGCGAAAATAAAGAACCGAAAGACTTGAGAATAAGAATCAGAAGATTAAAGATTAAGATGTTAAGTGTTGTTAGGTTGAAGTAGATAAGAGTGAGATCGAAGAAGTAGGAGTTGTATAATTGATGTATGGTCACGGTCAACAAAAATGATACGATCAAAATTCATCGAAAGTAGAAAAGGAAAACAACGGTCAACAGAAAAAGACAAGAACCCGTGCCACAGCTGTGTAAGATCACAATCTTGCTCCTATGACATCACAAGATGTATGCGCTATTCCTATGACATCACGAGATGCAGTAGCAGCGCCGTAAGCCAAATTCCAACAGTTATGCATAGTATCTACCCATTTGAGTGGCTGGATTAACTGGCTTTCTAAATCTGAGATCCTCCTGTGGAGAGCCGCCGACGATAGTGATGCAACGTTAATTATGTAGTGGTTGATATTGTTGTGTTTCAGCACTAGAGCCAGCGGTGGGCCGCTACGCTACGCTACGCTTTTGGCCCAAAAAGCGTAGCGTAGCGGCGCTTTTTTTTTCATCCAAAAGCGGTAGTGTTAGCGTTTTTGTAGCGGTTTTTCGCTACGCTACGCTGCGCTACAGCGCTTTTAGCGAAAAAGCGGCCAAAAACCGCTAAAAGCGCTGTAGCGCAGCGAAGTGGGCCCTTTTTGCTGCCACACGCGTAGCGTAGCGGTTCGTGGCGGAATCCCGCTACGCTACGCTAAAGTTGCGTGGAATTCCGCTACGTTACGCTGCGCTAACCGCTACGGTTAGCGTAGCTGGCCCAGCGTTGCTAGAGCCTTACGAGTGCTCTTCCTCCTCTCCACGGGTATCGTGTCAGTGTCTGTTTCTGTGAGCTCACAGGCACCGTGCTGGCAATTATGTTGAGCATTCAATCCACTTTTGATGACCTGAATATTTTCAAATTCAGGGATCAGTTGGTGCTCTTTGAGTGATCAGAAGAATCAAATTGTGTACCGATGATTCTACAAAAAGTGATTTGGAAGTCCTTTGAATCTCCCTCATTTTGTAATGCGGGCTTTCGTCCATCTTTTGAAATATGGTGGTGTGTATGAGGAAACGGTGTTGATGAAGAGGTTTCTGGACCATCCAGAGAGAGTTTATACAGCCAATATGACAGCTTTCAGAACTTTCTGGCTGAGTACCATTGAACTATCAAAAAAACATCAGCAAAAAATGATTAACCTCAGTTGTGGAAACAGAAGATAAGGAATAATTACCAGAATAAAATAATCCTTTTTGAGAACTTGCTTCTTGTTAAGATTCAATTCAGATATTTGACTGATTTCGTGACCTGGATATGCAGTCTTCAAATCTTGAGGAATTTCTATCTTATCACTGTTTGATACTAAACTTTTTTTAATAAGAGGATAATTGGTATTTGGAAAGGATGTAGAATGATTGTATCCCAAAGTTTGCTGGATTAAAGGATTAGATTGAAACATATTTGTGACTTGATTTGAAGATTGTACATAGAGTTTTTTTTTGCTTATCATAAAAGAAACCACCAGAAATAATTTGGCGGAAAGAGTGATAATTACTGAATGTGACAGCTATATCTTGACCTGGACTTTGGCGGTTGGAGTGAATTGAAGCATTTCTAAGAATACCATTATAGCTTTCAAACTTTTTGGTGGCAAAAAGACTACTAGGACCAAATCTGAGGATAGACTCTGGAAGATGAAGTAACATGTGGAACTTGGCTTTATTGACCCACTGGGAAGAATCTTCAATAATTTGATTCAAGAATATCTCAATGTGATTCTTCAAATCAGAAATATAAGTGTCCATGTCTTCAATATGAGTTTGAAAGATTAAAGAGCCCAGATGACAGATAGAAGACCAGAGCTTGATATCGGATGGGTTCATGAACTGGAAGAAGATGAAAGGAGCTGCTTGAAGAATTATTCTAAAGTCTTTACCAACTAAACTTGAAGAATATTGTACCATACTTTTGGGTCGGATGGATGGGATGTTGAGAGAATTGGTGTTGAAAGAACTCCATAAGGCTGTGAGATCATCCTTTTGTGTTTCATCCAATCCCTTCATAAAATCTCTAAATAAATACTTGACAGCTCCAAGTAAAAAAACATGTAAGACTTCAACAGGTGTATCCTTCACCATGTCAAAACCTAGAAAAAGTAAACAAAAAGAAATCAAGTCAGAAAGGAAGATTTAAACAAAAACAGTAATAAAATAAAAACCTTTCAACTCCAGGTATGGATTAAACATTCTACTGTATTCATTTTCTTCCATATCCACCAAATCTTGAGGAATTGCTTGATCCATATGATCCGGTAATTCCTTTCCATCTTCAAGTAAATCAAGTTTTTCTGAATCAAATTTAAATAACTGTTTGCAAAACTTTCGATTGATTTGATCTCAAACACCAAGTTTAGCAGATTCTTTGTCCAATTTGTCCTCTTTTAGTGTTTCTTTCGCGTTTGTCCAGAGTTTTTTTGAGCTTTCCTTGGTTTTTTCCATGGTTTGGAGTTGATTTGGACACTATATTTTCATGAGGAAAGAAGGGAAATTAATTCAGAATATGTGAAGCAAAAAAAGAAAAAGACAAGAATCAAACAATACATTTGATCCATGTGAGTTTTTCTGTAAGAATTGTGAGACATAGGGAATTTTCTTTCTGGCTGCCAAGCTTGCAGAACTTAAGACAAAATATCGACAAGAATTCAGAGAGTTTCCAGGAACTGGTGTGCTGGTAAATTTGGTGTGCATTGGAGAATCGGCCAAGATGCATAAAACACTGGCCATAACATGAACTTTCTGCTGGATTGTAATATCATAGGCTTCAAATCCATCAATGGACATTTGACTAGAATTAAGAAGAAATCACAATTGATTAGAAGACATAAATTGTAAAAATCATACCCTGAATAATTTCAAATGATAAAAATCTTACTTGAACTGTTTAACAACCATCTCTCCATTTCCAAAGTCCGCATATTGAGTGCAAGAAAGTGACAGTGATGTGATTAAATGAGGGGTAACTGGCAGTGTGAAATAATAGAGATGTGTTTATTACATTTTTAGATTTGTTTCCAGATGTGTCGTCACAGTATAATTAATAGGAACATTTCGTAAGGATTTTTCCAGCCGCTTTCTTTCTCCAAGGATTTGGTAAATCTATTTTTGGATTCCCAGTCGTGCTTCTCATCAATATCTGTTCAAACAAATTCAGAGAAAAAAAAATGTCAATATATATATTTATTTATGATCAATTTTATTAATGACTGGAATTCTCACTATGGATCTTTCCCTCACATCATGCTGATAACATCAAACCATTACTCATCTTAATCTCCTCATAGGTTAAGTCAAAATTTTCAACAGAAATTATTTTCAGATTTTCATCATCAAAAGAGATGTTATGAGGAATTCCAATCTGAACCTTGGAACAATCTTTTTTGGATTTGAACTTGGGAGGATAGCACTTTGCAAACAGCTTATTTTGTTGGGTGTAGAAGAAGATGGGAATGAGAATTTCAGAAGATATTAAGCGGACTGGTTCAAAAATGTAGAAGTGTTTTTGTTTTGATTCCGCCATCTGCACTCGAAGATCTGGCGCTGTATATTTCAGCCATTTTGCAGACTGGGAACTTTTATAGATATTTTTTCCATGAGTTTCTTCTGGAAAAAAATCCAGGTGTGGTGCAACCAAAGGATTCATCAAATCCTGTTGGAAACCAAACAGCAACAATCTCGGTCAGCTTAAGTGATTCTCCGACACAGATAACATCAGGTAAGTCTTGCTCACATCCAAAATCAATTCACTTGCATTCAAACCAAAAACTGGCTGACCGAAGACTGTTTCCTTTTCAACTATTGTCCGATTGATCAGTGTCCGGATATTCACTCGCATCATTCGCAAGGCTTCCCAGCGGGGAAGACGGACATCACAGACGGTAAATACGCTCTGTATCAGATGATACATGTCCCGTGAGATAAGTTTGTGTAAGTATCCAATCAGGAGTGAACCAATAAGATACTGAAATCGAAGCAGTTAGTAAGTTTTTTTATTTCTTTGATTTTGTTTTGATGGAAAAATTGTATCTGCTTACCTCTTTATTTAAAAATGGGTACCAGGTGGAGTTGTCGGGTCGGATCTTCTTGATTTTTTCTTCTTCGCGACGAAACAGAGGGCTCGATAACGGTAGATCAAGATCCTCGGGTTCCGAATCGATCTGACCAATTGCTACGCCCACAAAGTCCATCCAGCTAAGCTCAGCCTCCTCGTCATCCGATTCCTCCTCCACGAATGTACCTGGTGGAATCTCTTCCGATTCTTCATCTAGTTCGCTTTCATCCGCATCGACTTGATCAGGCTGGCCTTCATTCATACCAATCACAGGTTCAAGAAGATCGCTAACACTGTCCATAATCAACGTCTCGTTGGTCGAAGCCTCAACCGCGGCCCTCTGAGAAGCCCTTCGAGCGACTTGGTCTTTGTTCATTTGGACTAGATTTTGGTGGCGTTGGTTCATGGTATGTCGTTTTCGGTTGGTTGTTGTCCTTCCTTTACATAGCCAACATTCATATTTCATTCCTACTGTAGTATTTTGTTCAACAAAGTCTTCAAGAAAAATTTCAATTTTTTATTTCATTGCTGCCCAAAATAATGACGGTAGGCTTACACTTAAAACTTGTATCCATCTTGTTGCTCCGTTATATGCTAATAAAACTTGAACTTTTTTTTTGATGATCCAGTTGCGACTTCGTGTTAATTTGATGATAACTCAACCAAGCAGTGGATCGAAGCGAAAACAGAGGTTTGAACGACTTAGCCAATTTTTCCTCTCTGAATCTAACCGTTGTCCTTTACCGTTTTCTCCGATTATTTTCCTTTTAAACCTCCGATCAGCCACCTCGCCCTCCGATCAGCCACCTCACCCTCCGATCAGCCCAGAGGAACGGTATAAATTCCATTCAGCTCTTCATCACTCCCCCAACCAATCTGTTCCCAATCTTGCCTCTGACCATCCTCTCTCCCGCGATCACATTATTCAAGCCATCATCACCTATCATCTATTTTCTCCTTCTCTTACCCCTTCACTCCAGTTTGCTGTGATGTCAATTGACATGAACGATATCCTCCATGGAGATCTCGATGATCCCAACACCAGATTTTAAGGAGTCGAAGATGAACCATCACCTATCCCAAACGAAGGACGTTCTTCCTCCAACGAGTTTGAACACACTGATCCCACCTCTCTATTTGACCCTTTGCCTACCTCTATCCGCGATGTCAAGATGACCGATTGATCTGTGTCTCATCATGATGACGACACCATTGAGGAAGTCTGCGATAAACTCCAATCTCAGTTAAAACTCGACCCTCAACATTTGAAGATCGCTCCGATCAAAGGCAAGGTAAACCCCTCCACTTGGTCTTGTTCTAGCCCCATATCTCATTTCCAATGTTCCATTTGTTTTCATCAAAAGTTTGTCCCAGAATCAGGAACCGCTGCTGTCATCTTCGCCAATGCTGCCTATCATCAGCTCGATGGTCCAAATACCGGCATAGCTACCCAACGAACCGCAAATTTTGTATTTGATCAATCTTTCAGGGTAAGTGTGTCTTGATTTATACTTCTTGCTTGATCGATGCTTTGTTTCTTCATTGCTGATAGCTATCAAGCAAAACCAACAGGATTTTGTTAGAAAAACAGCTCGAATTATACTACTCCTGCCAACACTTGAAGCGTATTCAAACAACCCCCATAAGAATGGGGCCCTCCCCAAAACTCTGTTTTACCAAACACTTGTAAGTTCCTTTTTTTTTGGTTTTTACTATTTCAGTTGAACCAAGCTCTATTTCCTTCTCTAGAACCCCATCGAAAAACAGCCCGATGCCTGGAAAGAGGAGCACCTCCAGCCGAGCTCAAATCAAGACATTCCGCAATCTCCGTCTGCATATCGTGAAGCGGTCAGAGATCTTTTGAAGTACCAACGCAGCAATCTGCGTGTACTGGTAAGCTTGCATACACGGCTCACTTGAAATCGCAGTCCTGATACTTTTCTTATTGCACTAGCTTTTGAGAAACATCCTCGAGACCAAGAGGATATTCATTACCGATCATGTGCCAAACCGTAAGGCCATGTTAACTTCTGTGAGTACTCGACAAGTCTTGAAATCACAATCGATACATAAAGCTCATTGACAGTGCTTTTTGATTGTAGATCTATGAAGACCTTCCACCCAAAGGTGGTAAGATGACAACTGCCAAGATTACACACCAAGTCACGACAAACTATGCAATGCGAGCCCGCATGTGCTATGCTCGACTCGTCATGGTATATTTCTATGTACACAAATCCAAGAAGGATTTGCAATGGTCGGACATCGATGAACGATTGGCTGTCCTACGAGGTTCGTCGTGTGAATTCCAGCAACAGTAAGTGATTCATCATGACTTCTTCGACCCCATGTCCTTGCCTTGCACGTATGTAATGACCCTCCTTGTTCACACAGCCATTCGATCCTTGTCTTGAACAAAGACTTCCTGCTCTTCTCCCAAAAGAGGAACTATAAGAGCATGAAACCCGAAGAATTCTCCGTGCCCACACTTGAAGAAGTCCAGGACTTGGTCGACACTGGAACTATCCCCGCTACCCTCAAATAGCTTATTTGGCTGACACCCTCATCATTGAGGCTTCCGTTTATTTCCTCTCCTGCTCAATCATTATGGTTTTTCATGGTTTTTAAAGGAAAACCAGCGATCTATGTGTAAAAACTACCAAAATGTTTCTTTCAGATTATATTATTGATCGAATTATCTATTTCTTCTCAAAAAAAAACCCGCACTGGTTTTCAATATTTTGTTTTGCTGGAATTTGCAATCCGACGGTTTCTTCTTTTTTGGAAATAACAAAACTGGAAATTAACCGCCGGTTTCAATCATGATTACTCTTGCGGACATAATTGTCATCCGCCAATTATTCTGAAGCGCAAAAAAAAAAAAATCTGAAAAAAAAAACTGTTTCACATCGTAACAACGACAGGCTGCTCATCCGGATGCTGTCAAACACACCGGGAATGCCGCTAGAAATCTCATGCTGTGCGGCTCAGGTGGGATCGCTGACGAAAGCCCCGTGTCGCATATCTAACCAACCACAGTACCAACCGAAGGCTGTCGTTGGGAGCTATCCCAACCGCGGGCACGCACGTTCGGCCCACATCGGAAAGTTGGGCCAACCGTGGCTCCGATACCTCCCGCGAAGAGACACACCAGAAAGTTTGGGCGGTATCGGGGAGGTCGGCTCGACATTGGCTCCCACGTCAACCCCATGTTGGTGGAAGTTCGTGGTGTACATGTACCTTGTCGGCCGGAAGGGTGTCCTTCCAGCCGGCAAGGTACATGTACCTACCTTGTTGACCGGAAGGAAACCCTTCCAGCCGTTGAGGCACATGTACCTCGACGGCTGGAAGGAAATCCTTCAAGTCGCCGAGGTACATGTACCTTGCCGACTGGAAGGACACCCTTCCGGTCAACAAGGTACATGTACCTCGCTGGCTGGAAGGACACCCTTCCAGTCGACAAGGTACATGTACCTTGTCAACTGGAGGGAAATCCTTCCAGCCATCAAGGTACATGTACCTTGTTGACCGGAGGGGTGTCCTTCCAGCCGGTCCCTCGCCGCCCCTTTAAAGGGCGGGTATCCGTGGATACCCACCAGTGGGTGCGGATGGCTGTTTTGCCAGAAAAAGCAGCCGGATATCCGGATGTGGAGCGACCATCTCTAATACCTGTAAAACTAAAAATGAAAATAACTATTGATCCAGTAAGAAATGAAATATGGCTTGAGTAAGTGACTACATATAAAATGGGGTGTTGAATCTGAATATGTCATAATAATGAAGGAAAACCAAGTGAATATATAGTGAAATAATAGGGGCTTTGGAAAGGTATGGGTTACCACAACACCCCCAAGATCCTGCGGAAAAACCTGGTCATTACGCTCACCGCTATTGGGCAAATAGCGTAGTTCAACGTAGTGGCCCACTGTTGCCATGAGTTTGTGGATTTATGGTAGGATAAAGCTCATTGGATCATAAAAAAGTGTTAGAATCTCATTCCACATTCTCTCTTCTGTTTCACTTGTCTTTCCAAATTTGTTAGCAATCAGCCTGTTTGTTTCTTCATTTCTCTTTGACTGAGTTTTATCAGTTTTGATTGAATATGCATGCTTTTTCTGTCTTTGAGTGTCACTTAGCTTCCCTTTATGAGTGTTTTATTTGCAGGACAATCAAGCAACCTCAATTATAAGTTCAAAGACAAACCTGTAATGTTTGAACTTAAAGTTGAGGATGCTTAATTGTACACAACTTTTTGGAGAAGACCACCATGTAATCTTCTCCAAAAATCTGTGTGGAAGATGAGATCTGATGGTTTGAGGTGTTTTTGAATCTTATTCAAGGTACTTTGATCAAGCTGGCACCTTCTTCTCAGAAAATGGGCTTAATCATATCTTGAACTTGCATATCTTTGTTTTGGTTATTTATTACCTAAATGTCAGAGCAATCTGGCCAATCCTAACAATTTGTGACTGAGGATGAAGTCTCTGAAAAAAGTTGTCAAGTTCAACCGATCTAGCTGGTCAACCCAGCTTTGTATATTTAAGTCTCTTGTTAATCAATCCAACCAAGTTCTATTTTCGTTTGGTTTGTTTGAATATAGATAAGGACCTAACTGCTAATCAGTGGGATAAGTGTTTATCTTTGTGATTTGTTAATGTTTGCTTGACTCAGTTTTGGCCACACAGTCCATACTTTGAAACTGATTACGTCATCCGACCATCCAACATCTTTCACAGCACTTGAAGTTTGATCGAAGCCAGCCTTGTGGGTCTCGACACAACCAACACACTTGGCTCTGTTGACCAACCACTTCTGATACAAAGTCAAGATACCCAACTACTTCATACACAATACCTTTGAGATTTTTTTAAAAAAAGGGGAAGGGAAGATGTCATCGGGCACGGTCGGGATCCATTCGTCCCACATCATGTTCCATCGAGCCCAACGAGATTACGAACGACTGCAGCAGACCTACAACCAATGGCTCAAGAAACGCGAGAAAACCAAGCAAGACATCCTCAAGCAGATCACGACCATCAACGAGGCCGGCCACGATCCCAAGAAATCTACCAAGCTCTTGTCCAAACTTAATGCCCAATTGTCCGCCTTCGAAGAGGAAGAGGCCGAGGTGGCTGATGCGGAACTCTTGCAACATTCGCCACATGCTCGTCCCTGCCATCGTCCCGCCTATCGTAAAGTAAATTTTAACCATCTTTTGAATGTCCTACTTCTTCTCCTCATACTGACGCTCGAATATTGACATAATCCCTTCCGACAATAGCTTGCTTTTGAGAACGCTTTGAAACAATCCGAAGAGAAGAAGAGGCTTGCGGAGGAAGTTTATAATGCAGCCCTGGCAGCTAGACAATCCGCCGCTGGAGCCGAAGCAGCGCCCAGCCAATCTGCTGAACCAGCCGAGGCTGCAGAAGCACCCGTAAGATATCCCTTTTTTTACATCAGATATTGAAAATACAAGACCAAGGATCATTCTCAAAAGCTCACATCCGTTTTATTTAATTTTTTGCGAAAATTGCCAACCAAACAAAAAAAAAAGGATGAAGCGGCGGCACCGTTATCGCCAGAAACGGGGACCAGTAGTGCGCCGAAGCCGATGAGCAGACTCAAGAAGATCGATGCGTTCTTGACGAGGTTGGAGAGTGGGAAGGGGATGACCAAGACCTTTGCGCCCGATCGCCAGAGCCCATCCTATGGGAAATGGTCTCTCCGCGCCGGCACCTTCCAGCCCGGACGTGCCAAGCCTGCCTCATAATTCATAGCCGATACTCAAATGCCAATTTTATCCAGCTTTGGCTACCATACATTTATATATTATACACGGCTTTCAGGTACATCCATCTGGCTATTTTATACCACGGCCTATTCTTTCTTGGCTTGAACGATCACAATCCCCCCCCCCCCCGAAATATCCAATGTACTTGTACGATTAGCATCAGCACCAGTCAACCCCCCTTATTACCCCCTCAAAGGGCACATTTCTACACATCGAGTAGCTTGAATAATCCAGATAACACGGGTCTCTTGAATATACACAACTACCTTCTTGATTGTTCCTACCATTCCCCACACCCCTTCTTTTCTTTCTTTCTTTCTTCTTGAACCTTAACAGAACATAAAAACGAAACAAATTGATAAGATGTGTATCAACCAGTCTGATTGAATTTCTTGAACACAAGGACACACAAATATCCACTCCCAACAACCCCGAAATAACTTGATTTTAATTCTTGATAAAGTTAATCTCTCCTTTTTTGTTTGTCTGTTTGGACGGTGTGGTCTGTCTTAGAAGTTCTTTCCTAGTAGTGATTAAATTCAATGATAAAGAAATCTATCTACTTATCTAAATGCTTATAATACATATATATATATCAAGTTGGAATGATAATAAAAATTGACAAAGTGTTTCGCATGTTGGAAAAACTTGATCGCTTTGATAGGTTTTTTAGAAACTATCATATAAGCCTCCAATGGCTAGATGTACTGCACGAAAGATGATCTCGCGCCAGCTTTGATGAAGCGTCATCAGACATCAGGCTAGCATACCCGCCATACTTTAGTTGTTGCAAAACTTCTGAAGGTAAGCGGCAAGGGCGAGCATTCAAACGCTCTTGGGATCCTCATGGAGCAGCAGCAAGCCATTTTTATATCTCACAAGCACTGGTCAATCAATCAATGTCTTGCGAAAGGTATTGGGGTCCTGCTGCTGATTCGTGCAGCTGAGGATAAATGTCGATCATGGACAGTAGTTTCGAGGCAGATGGCTAACAAAAAAATGGACTATGTACATGCAAGGACTATTGAAAGTCCTAGTGCTCGAAACTCAGGTAGAGGTATTAGACAATGTTCAAGTTATGATTGTGTTCGATAGCCGGCTAGTTCTTCCGAATCCCAACTGAGGAATTGGCCGCTCAACTTCTGCTCGGCTCGGATCGATAGGTTGCTGATCACTTCGGCCGGGCCTTCCGGTTTGAGCAGCTTCGACGACTCGTAGAGACCGTTGAAATGTTTGAAGTTCGGCGGGTTCATGACTTCTTTGGCTTCGATTTTGAGGAAATCATTTTGGTTTTATATATGTAAGAAAGAAAAAAAAAAAAAAAAAAAAAAAAGATATCAGCTGGGTGGTGAATTGCGGGGGGAAAGAGAGATAGAGATTACCTTCAGATCGGAGTTGGACTTGCATTTCCGTATCCACTACTCCTGGTCTCAGCGCGATCGAAGTGATTGTTGGCTCTTCGCTGGCTAGTGTTCGACACAGTGAATTCATCGCCGCCTTGCTCGTGTTATCTTGAGCATTTTACAAATATACATTCATGTGGGTAATAGGAGAAAAAAAGAGAAAAAAAAGTCAGCATGTGGTACATATGTATGTCAGTAAGAATCGGCGGGTTGAATTTAGTATCACTCAACAGCTTCCCCAACTTTCAGAGACACAAGTAAAAAGAAAAAAAAACAAGTCAACTTCTCCATTCTCAATCAATCAGATTGAAAATCAAAACAAAACAAAAAAAGAGAAAAACTGACGAGGCAATCCCACCAACGGAAGCACCAGAACTAACAAACACGACTCTTCCGTTGGAGCTCCTGAGATGGACCAAGGAATGCTTCAAGATCGAAACCAAGGAGAAAAAGTTGACATCAAAGACCTCTTTCCAGGCTTCGATCGACGGTTTGTTTGGGTCGTCGATTCGCTCAAATTTGATTATCCCCGAATTTAAGATTAATCCTGTTTTTTTTTTTTTTTTTTTTTTTTTTTCGTCGGACCATTAACCATTCATGTATAATTAGTTTGGTTGGTTGGTAATTGAGAAATCGTCGTCTTATTTTGGACAATTGGGAGGACTGTGTCAAGGAAGGATCCACTTACCATCGATCGAACCAAACGATTTGATAGCAGTGTCAACCGCCAATTTATTATCTTCATCCTTAGCTACGTTTCCTTGAATGACTTGGAGATTTTGCTCATAAGACTTCTTCAACTCTTGCAATTCTTTTTTTTGGGGGGTGAAAGTATATGGGAAACAGATAGCGTAAGTATTTTTCTTGTCGGGAGGTTGTGTAGAGATATGTAGAAGCGGACTTTCAAAGTGTCAAGACACATACATACCAGGAGGAAAGGATCTTGATAGAGAGACCACGTTGGCTCGGATAGGCGATTGGAGCAAGAATTTGAGACACGACAGGCCGATTCCACGAGAGCCACCTGTCAACTATTTCCGCCCCCAGGCAAGTCAGCCTTCCTTCAAAATCCGAAGAATGGATGATGGATAGGATGAGGAGAGCGAAAGCGAGGAAGAAGAAAGAGCAAAACTCAACGATGATAGTCGGAGGTTTGGTTCCAGACATCGTTGCTTCTGGGCAGGATTCGGGAAGGGCGAAGTGGCGTGGTGTGGGACTCGGGACTGGTTTCAGCCGAGCTTTTCTAGTCCCTCTCCACTCTCACTCACACGCCGTGTCCATTCCCGTCCGGCTCCACTCGGCATCTCGTCATCATCATCAAGCGCTGCCGATCCGAAGTCATCTTCACAGTGGGTGGATCTTTGCCGCAACTAAATACATAGGCGCAATGCCAATGAAAGATGAGACCTCCTCATCACACATCACCCGATCACTCAGTCTTCCGGCAGTCGTTTGCCTGATCCTCGGCCCCGGTTCTCAGATTGTCTATGAACGCCCAACTGCCCTCTCAAAGTACAAGATGCCATATGCTCTACTGGGCCCCTTCCTTCTGATTGGCCACTATTCTGACATAAGTCTTGGATTGAAATCTGGTCCGCACACCCACGTAATTACAGTATGGAGAATCATTGAAATCAATTTGATACATACCACACGGCATCGGTAGGATATAAATAACAGTGAGGGGTAGATGGGTTTTGTGAGTGAGTGGTTCCCGAGCTGCATGAATGCTCTCATAACAGTGATCAAATTACAGCGTGTCCCAGCCTCATCAAATCGGAGAAATTCGACCAATCAGAAGCCCTGAGGGATTGTGCCCATTAAATTTACATACTCGAACACCTGGCGAAGGAACTCCTTTCTAGCATCCAAGAGGCCTTGCAATGCATCCTGGCAACCCTTCGCAATAGCGTATTCTCGAAATCGCATCTTGACACCCCAGTCAGACCAAGTTGGCTGTCAAGAAGAGCTGAGGTCAAATTATTTCGTTTTTTTCTTACTTAGAATCGGTACAAAATTTATGACTACTAGTACTAATTCGGTTGAGAATTAAAAAAAAAAAAAAGGATTGGGTGGGTAAGATTATTTAGATAAAAGTGGAGCGTTATCTTGGCCGCTAGGGGGGAAACAATGTGTGTGTGAATGGGTTGGAGTTATGTGGGGCTGATCCGGTGAGTTGCATATTTATGCTATTCACAAAAGATAATTTTTTGACGATAATTATTTGACACTTTAGGTACAGTGGGAGGGTAGAATTTGTCTGCGTCTTTAGACTTGAGCAATGATAGTAACACGCCTCGGTTTCGGTCTAATGATATGAGCGCACGAAGTGATTATTTTTTGGTTCCGTGGGGGGGGGGGGGGGAAAGATCATATCTTGGGTGCCATCTTGGGCCAATTGATTCTGACGCGCTTGCAATCCTTTTCGAGTTTGAATTGGAACTCGGGTTTAGCGCCCTATGTGGAGTGAATTGAAATAAAAGAGGGGATCAAATGTCAGAGAACTGGAGTAGCAAATTGGCCTCCCAACTTAGGATATATGTTGAGCAACCCACGGCATTGTCTGGACGCCCATAGGGATTTAGAGGGCAGCAATAGCCGCGGGTGGCCATATTGCCACTGATCGGGAGGATATTGCAGAGACGTCGTTCGTGGCCTGGAATCAAGGGGGCCTTCTCCACTGCACACATTACAACAGCCAGTGGTTAGTGGAAAGCTCAAGTTACGCTGATGAAATGATGCGAGCGCTGGAGGGACTTACCCATCAATCCTTCTGCAGTTTTCAAGTTATCCTCAGGCTTCACCGGTCTGGCGCACAAGAGTATGAAGCGATCCTCCTCTTCGCAATTACGGACCGGGTATGGTTTTTCGTCTTGCGCAGAGCTTTCGGCTTGGCCCTGGTGGATCAAGCTCACGGCGAGAAATAAAAGCAAGATGGAGAAGTGCATGACTGTCGTTGGTGTTGGGTTCCTTGGTGGAAGGGTTGGAATTAATATAATTGGACTGGGAAAAATATTGACAGGAAAATCAGAATGAGTGCAGGTTGGGGGGAATCTCGAGAGGAAGTGGTCTTGCGGGCATAAATACGCGGTGGTGGAGCAGGCCGTGATGATGGCACCGGGCCAACAGCGACGATTTTGTAGGCTCCTGCATCATAATGGATACAGAATTACGGTACATGTATCTACATAGTCAGTTGATAACGGAGGCTATGTATGTGGCTTGGCACCCGCTACCTCCCGTTACAGTTTCTAGGATTCTTGTACTGTGTCCACCGTTTTCGGCACCCGCTTGAGTTTCGGGAATCTTTCGCTTGTGCGCCTGATGTGTACATGTGATGGAGTCCTATTTGTCTGGTGGTCTGTATGCGTGCCGCCGTATCGGGAGTAAGACTAGTCAAATTTTGCATTTGTAGCTGGAACTACATATGTGACCTCAAAAGATTCCATTACAGTGCCAATGGCCTCTTCTCAACTGTTAGGAGGCAAACGGTGACACTCTAAGGGCGCGTACCACAGCGCTTCCCACTTTGAAAAACGATTTGCACCCATTTTTTTTTTTGCGCTTTTTTTAAAACGGAACCAAAAATCACCTCTTCCAAAAACGTGTACCACACACGCACTTCTTCATCTCGTCTATCTCATGCATCCCTTGTCCATTCCACATCCTCACTCACTTCACAAACTATTTGACATGTCCTCCCCAGAGACAACGATCAACATTTCCTCAGCAGCATCTTGATCGTTTCTACCGATTGTTTTTTTTTGTCATCAATGCACAATTGATCGTTTTTTGTGATCGATTGTGCTTTCTGATCATTGTTTTCTTGATCAATGGACGATTGATCGTTTTTTGTGATTAATTGTTCGAATGTTTTTTTATAAACATGCTTTCTGATATTTTTTTTACAATCAATGGACGATCGATCGTTTTTTGTGATCGATCGTTTGAATGTTATTTTACAATCAATGCAATTGGTCATTATCATCATGAAGAAAGACCGATGTAAAATTGCTTCAAAGACTGTGTCGGGCTCACAAGAAAACAAACACAACAGTTTTTTTTGATTGATCAAGTGAGAAAAATGAGAAAAAGACCAAGCTAAAGAGCAGGATTTATCTTGATTGATTGACCGAGACAAAAAATGTGGATTGACCTATGGTGAACAAAGATAAGAGATGAAACTGAGCCAAAGATCATTGAAGATAAGAGAAAAAGATGAGGCTGGGTGATCAATGATAAGAAAGTCAGGGTCCAGACGAGTCGAGGCAAGAAGTCGGAGTCGAGGCAAGAAGTCGGAGTCGAAGCAAGAAGTCGGAGTCAAGGCAAGAAGTCAGAGTCGAGGAAAGAGAGGAAAGAAGTCACAAAAGAAAGCCGAGGGTGATGGATCTTCTGTAGAGTGTATATGGTGTATACATATGAACCAGTCGCTTTGCAGACAAGCGGCACGCTGCGTTTTTGCAAACGGGGGTGGGGCCGTTTCCTCAAACAGCAGCAAAAGTGGAAAAACGACTAGTGCGGTTGTTGAAAAAAACAACCCTTGCGGTACGCGTTTTTGCTCAAAAACGTTTACTGCCAAAAAAATTGAAAATTGGCAGTCCGCGGGCGGCTATGGTACGCGCCCTAAAGTTGTCCCGATACAGTGGCGCAACCCATCCTACTGTGCATAGATTTTGGGGTTCTGAAATGTTTGGAGGAAAAAAAAAAATCAAGAAAATTTGCCGTGGGAAGGGTAGGATCCAAGGAAAATTTAGGTTTTGGGGCTTGGAAATTTTAGAAATTGTGCAATTTTTGCCAATTGTTTGGAAAAAATTACATCCCAGAGTTAAATTGCCATGTTTGGCAGCAACAAAAATGTATTCTAGGTTATAATTTATGCACATAGCTTTGGTGGGAGAAGCCATACTTATGTGTTATCAGAGTTAAGTACATGAATATGAGGATGTAGGGACATTTAAGCCCATGGATTCCAAAATGTTGACCCCAAATAAAAAAAACTTCTTTGTTGGAGCAGTGGGGGCTTAGCCCTTTTATCTATGGAAGCTACTGCTCTCAAAAAGCCCAAATCTACAATAAAAATGGGTGATGGACCCCAAGTGCCTACAAACATTAGGCCAACAGGCCAAATTTTTTTTTGCTGGTGATGGTGTACAGTAACATGGGTTGCACCACTGTAGGTGCGGTTAGCTACCTAAACGCCTGGTTCCGGTCCCTCAACTCGATGATAATTGCACTAACCTAAAGTTGTTCCGATAGGTGCGGTTAGCTACCTAAACGTCCCGTTCCGGTCCCTCAACTCAATGAAGAAGAAGAGAGCCTTTTCCTCGCGTCCAGGTAGTTAGACTAAGTACAAGCGTCTGCTGCGCAGCTAACTATGATGATAGGTACAACTAGGTTATGAGAAAAGTGGGAAACTACAAGAGCACATCTATAACCCTTAGCAACATAACGGGCCTTGAAGCAATCAATGGATCCGTCGGCGTGTAACTTCTTCGCGTAGGCCCATTTCGCATTCATCACTTTTGTTCCAGCTGGGATTGGTTTGACCGTCCACACACCTAAGTCGGATAGATTCTTCAGTTCCTCGTTCATTGCGCGGGTCCATTCAGGAGCATTGTTGCTGGACATTGCCTGCCGATAAGTGTTTGGCACAGAAGAGTTAAAGAATTCAGGGACAGATAAGTTGATATGTTCTACAAGAGCCTCTTGCTGCTGCACCGTCTCCTTGTTGCTAAAATTGCCAAGTTGCAAGTGAGACATATTGACTGTGGGAGATTGGTCAGGCGATGGGGATAGTTTAAAAACAGCTATTGCAGAGTTTAAGAAAGAGCATGTGGTGGGGATCCAGAAACACCACCCTTTCGACTCGGTAAGATATGAGATTACAAACGGGGATACCGCTCGGTCATCTAGTTTCCTATGTTTTTCCACTGGGATGTGTACATAAGCCTGTTCACCAAAAGAACGGTTCCGGTCCAGATTGGGTTTCATACTGAACATTTTCTCATAAGGAGTTACGGATCCACTAACCCCGTTGGGGATTCTGTTTAAGGTGTAGCATGCCCACAAAAATGACAATGCCTAAAAGCTTTTGTCCAAGCCGCTTTGGAGAAGAAGTGTTTGACCCATGTCTTGTAGCATCCTGTTGTACCGCTCAATAGATCTGTTTTGGTAGTGGTGGTACGTAATGGATCTTTCAGTCAATATACTCTTGGATTTCAGAGAATTTCCAAGCAGATTATTGTTGAACTCGCCTCCGTTATCTGACCAAAGTATTTTGAGATTCTTGCCAGTTGTACGTTCAAGTTTCTGGATAGTATCAATAAGTAAAGCAGTAGCCTCACATTTCCAAGCCAGTATCTTGATCTCACTGTAGCCTGATCCAAGATCTCTTATGGTCAGTACATATCTGCCCCCACCAATTGCTGTTACTTCAAACGGGCCAACCAAATCTATGTTCCAAATATCCATTGGCGCAAAAGATCTTTGATCCAAAGTTAAAGTGTTCTTGTTTACACTCTTGCTTAACATGCATGCTGGACAGTGTAAATCACATTTTGGGAGAGTCTTTGGTAGTCCTAGCGCACAGTTTGTGGTGATCATTTTCTTCATTGTACATAGGCTAACATGACCAAGTCTGCAGTGAAGGTTGAACAGCTCAAGTTCATCATGAGTCAGTATTGGGTTTGGTTTAACAGGTGTATTTCCTTGCAATAGGAAATGAGCAAAAGGAGTAGCCAATACAACAGTATTACAAGGAGGGGCAGAGCAACTGTTGTTATCAACCGAATTACAACAAGCGTTGGTAGAAGGGACAGGGGATTTAGAAACGACAGAATGTAGATTGGGTGTGACAATATGGGAAGTAATAGTAGGGACAGTATTTGAGTTATGGGGGGAAGACAATGATTTACAAGCAATAGAAGGGGTAGCAGTACCAACAAATTTGACAGGGGAAGGGAAAACCCATTTACGACAAGAGAAATTCAACCTAGACTTTGCCCAAAGTTTTAGGCCATCGAAAATGTTGAAAGAATCATCTTTGCAGTTGTATGAGATAGAAAAGCCTGAGATCCAAAGTGATGAGTGTACTTGAGGCGTGTTTGCAGAACAGTACATTCTTAAGAGCGATTACTGTTGAATTGAGACCACAAAAAATCATTGTACCTGTTGAAATTCCGTCGTCTCCAGATCTCATTTCTATCCCTGTCACTCCTTTTTCACCATGTCACTCATTTCATTCCCTTTTTCCATGCATATTCATCTCACCTTTGTCCCACAACCTGTCCCTCATCGTTGTAATAGCTTAAGTACACTGCTTGGATAAGAGAAATATCAGCATCAGTTTTCTGCGCCTGTTCCCTGAGACCACTCATTCAGTCTCTTGTAGTGAGGTCGCTTTTCCGACCCACAAGCTAGCAGCCTTAGCCCTCTTTGAGGGCTCTAAGACCTTTGTTTTTTCCTCAGAGCTTTTCCTCTAGGTTTCTTCTTCACCCGGTCTCTTCCCCTTTTCTCCGGCTAAAAATCCTGATTTTCTTCAGTACCTTTTGCTGTGACAAATTTAGGAACACTATTAGTTGCTACTTTGAGGGGAATAGGGTCAGAAAGTACAGTAAACTCAGTTAAGGCTAACCTATCACCCGTTAAGTGATTAGTAGCACCAGTATCTAAAAGGGTTTCCCGTTCGGAGGGGGATTTGGTTTGTTTGTTGAATTCAAGGTTGCTGAACTGGGGCTCGAAGTTCATCCCTTCAGCCAATGTTTCCGCCTCAGCCTGCCAAGTGGAGGGTTTCACTCCTGGTTTATTGGTGTACCCAGGTCAGTACAAATCGGGGTGACAGAGCTGTTGTTGTGGTGGTTGCATCGGACGGTGGTATGGGCCGGTTGGATACCCAATTGGTGGGGTAATGATGGGATAGTGGGCTTGAAATTGATTGGGGCCATTTTGTGGAATTGATGGCTTCACAGGGTTCTTGAATTGGGTGTTCTGTTCTGGAGCGGTACACTGAGCTATTTGATGAGATGTTGAACCACAACGGAAACAGGTTCGAGGTCTTGGGGCTTTGTTCATCATTGG